ATATATATATATATATTTATATATTTATATATACATATTTATTTATATATATATATATATATATACGTATATATATATATATCTATATATAGATATCTATAGATATATATATATATATATATATATATATATATGTACTCTATATATATAGATACTATATATATCTATATCTCACTGTATATATATATATATATATATATATATATATATATATATATATATATATATATATATATATATATATATATATATATATATATTGTTAAAAATTCCCTCTTTTACTATATATCCACATGGGCAAATTTTTGGTGGTCCAAAAAGAGGAAATGCAAAATTAGGTCTTTCCCCTAAATAGTTGGAACAAAATCATAAGATATATTTTATATTTATTATATAAGATGTGGGTAAGTTTCTTCCCCACGAGCTCCCATGGCCTACTACTTTTTCATTGCATTATTGTTCATCATTACCCAATATCTACTAAACCTTATCTTGTGGGGCCCCTTCATATTTCTATTTTTCTTTAATTGTTTATCTCAATTTTCTTTTTTAATTATTAATTTGAGTTTTATCCTACAATTATGAAATTATGTAGGTGTTTTGTGCTTAATGAGTATATACATGAATATTTTGATAAAGCCTAAAAAATAATTGAACAATATTCCCTCCGATTAACGTGTTATATACGTATTAGAAAAGTTATTCGGCATACGACTTTAATCTTAGAACAGATATAACAAAAACTAAAATAACTTTTATCGTTTAAGGGGGAATAATTGAATAGTATTTGAGGTTTAGTATAACAGATGGAGAAAATTTGTGTTTAATGCGTCATTGGAATTTTAAGGTGACAAACAATATGAAGAACAAAAATTCGAATAGCAACGAATAATTGGGAGAGGTAAAAATAAACACAATTTCTTTTTGTAAGATTGAAATAAAGTTGAATTATTTATGAATATTACACTTTTAAAGAATATGATACGAAATATTATGTTTGGCCCAATATAATTTGAACTCCAAATAGTCCAAAGAGGAGTAATTTTGTGGCACATTGAAATACCATGGGCTATGGGACTTATAACTTATTGGCCCACATTGAAATTGAAACGAAAATTTCGATTTTCGTCGATTTTGATTCGAATTTTTTTGATTTTGGAATAATTGACTTCTATTTTTTTCTAAACTATTTGGATCGTTATTGGAATATATATGAGGATTCCGATTTTCGATTCGATTAAAGTTCGAAAATAATTCTGATTTTTACTTAAGGTGAGCAAATATTGAAAAATTCTGAATTCCGCCGATTTCGATCCGAATTTTTCCAATTTTTCATTCCGATTTTTTTCGGAACGAAATTGAAACTAGGTTTCCTCTTCAAAAAGAAAATCAGAATTTTTCCGAAAAGGCTAATTCCGATCCGATCCGTCCGATTTACACTCTTACAATACTCATTTGGCTAAACTTATTTTAAATAATAAACCCTTACATCTAATAAGTTGTATTAAAATATAAAAACTGTTATATTTTAGACGACGGTTATATGCAAGCCCATTTTTTTATTAGTTCAAGACTTTCAACATAAAAATACTAATTTACCCTTAATAAATTTTAAAATCAAATAAAAAACACAAAATATTCAAAAAAAAAAAAAAAAATCATTTCATTTATGCAAGACCAAATAAAATACATAAATCTATGAACACCTCTTCATTATTTCACGACTTAAAAATCTCATCCTCCTTATTTTTCACAAACCCACCAAGAGATTCTACACACCAAAATTATCATATACATACCAAACATTCACGATGGAACCAGGAAACAATGATATGGTGGTTTACAAGGGTGGAGAACACAATGAAATATGTTTTAACCGTTTATTTTTGCTTTTGGGTCGATATTTTTTTTGGGAAAAAAATTCGACGATACCAAAAATCGGTCTGCAAATACCGATTTTTGTTACTAAAGTCGGTAACCACATTCCGATTTTTTAATAGAAAATCGGTACTTAAAAACCGATTTTTGTAGTACAAATCGGCATGACAACACCGATTTGTTTTTGTATTATCGGTATTGGCATGCCGACTTATACTACAAAAATCGGTTTTTAAGTACCGATTTTATTATCTGTGTTTTTCTAAGACCGTTTTCCCATACTTTCGTGTAGCAACCTAAGGGATTGATGGAAAATTATTCAAATGAATTATCCAACGAATAAATATTTGAGACACGGAAAGCTCTACTCGATTGGGTTAAAGTAGTTCGTAGATATCACCGAATGGTGATAAACATTTTCGTTTCAAATATTTAAAAAATATCAATTAACCAAATATACAATATTATTAAAAAAATCCGAAAAATATCGGTATCCGAAAACCGATTTTGTACTCAATAATCGACATTAGAACGCCGATTTCAACTTGTAAAGTCGACGTTGTGTCGCCGATTTGGTTAATAAAAATCGGCATTGTGACGCCGATTTTCATGTACAAAATCGGTCTGGGTAAACCGATTTGGGAAACCAACGGAAAAAAAAAAAAAAAAACCAATTTCAATCTCAATTTTTTTTTCCAAAATCGGCCAAAGCATTGCAACCCATCAAGAAATAAGCATAGATTAATGTTCATCCATACATATTTATTAAGATCGATGCTCGACTAATGTTTTCGAATTTACAAACAAAAGTCGTGATATTTTCTTTTTGTTTTTTTGTTTTTGTTTTTATTTTTTGGTCTTGAACAAATTAAAAATAGGATTTATTTGTATTTGAGTATTATTTGTGAATAAGGGTATATTTGTCCTCTTTGGTCTGGATGTAATAAAATTAGATTAATTTACGGGCTTGAACTAATAAACTCCTTTATGTGGGTTTGAACTAATAAAAAAATGGGCTTGCATATAACCGCCGCCTATATTTTATTTTTACAATTAACTTTTAAAATATTTAGATAACGACCTTATTAAACTATTTTTATTCATTCAATACAAAAAGAACCAACAATGCTTCAATATTAAAATAGAATCAAAAATCACATAGTGTCAAAATTGTTTGTTCTTTTAGTAAAGTACTAAAGTATTAATATTAATAAAATATAATTTAAATTCATCGTAATTATACAATCATAATTAGATTCCTTAATAGTCGAGATTAATTAATATAGCCCCACTAATAAATAAAAATAAAAAATAAAAATCTTATTTTTGTGAATTTAATCAGCTTCATATTATTGAGAAGTGGACCCAGGTGTGTGGATAGAAAGATCAGGCCAGCCACCGCCGCCGCCGCCGTGAATGTTCAAGAATCCATCAGCATCGCCGCCACTCTCCAACCCGTTTAGAGGATCCGAATTCCGACCCGAACCCGGATCACCAAATTGCCGCCGACGATCACCACCACTCATCAGCAAACTCGAGTCATCCAGCCCATCAAGCAAATTACCAAACTCTCCCTTGAAACTCCCACATGCATCCATAAAATTCCCAAACTGCCCCCCAAAAATCAAATTTTCACCCATTCCACCACCGCCGCCGTTGTTGCTGCTGCTGCTGTTACTGGTGTCGTTAGATGCCGATACTGCCGCGGCTGCTGAAGCAGGGCGTTTGGCGGCGGAGGGGGAGGCGGGGGAGGAGGAGGAGGTGCGCTTCGCGGCGGTCTTTCTAGAGCCTCCGCCACCGCCGCCGACGGGGATGTTCCTCAACGCGCCGCCCTTGGTCCAGTAGCGTTTGCAGCTCTTGCATAGGTAGCGCGGTTGGGAGAGGTTGTAGTTGTTGTAGTAGCAGAATTTGGTGTCGGCGGAATCACACCGGGGGCATTTCGGGTATTCTTGCTCCGGAAATTGCAGGTTCGCCTGCTCCGAATAATACAGCGACGAATGCATAATTTCTGATGAATTAAAACAATAAAGATTGAATTTTTCTGATAATTTGAGTGATTTTGTGATCTGGGCTTCTTGTAAAATAACCAATTTAATTGTGGTTTGTTTTATGGGGATAGAAATAAGAAGAAATTGGGGGCTTCTGTCATCTGTGTGATGTCAAAGATCACTACAAAGTCCGCGTGAAAGCGACGATCCAACATCATAATAATATGGCTAAATTAAAAAAAACACCCCTTAACTTAGGCTAAATAACGAAAAATACCTAAACCTATCTCTAATAACTAAAATTCCACTCTAATTAACTGTGGATCGAGTTTTTTTAACCGAAAATGTATACAATCTATTATATATTTTGTCAAATAGGTGAGAAATAAAAGAAAATATCCCCTGAAATCAAAAAAAAAAAAAAAAGGACAAAAAATCACACTGTAAATGGTTGGTATAAGATGGAAACAAACATCAGGTTTTTTTTTATAATTACAAATAGGTGGAGGTGGTTTTTGTAATTTAACATAATAATATACACATATACATTTTTCTTTTTATTTATTTATTTATTTATTATTATCTTATATATAAAAGAAAGAAAGGCAACCCTTAAAAATCCTAATGATATTTTTATAATTATTTATTTTTAATTATTTTTTTTGCTACTAATTTCTAACTATAATTTTTAACAATTATCAAAATTAAAACTAACCCGTGAAGAATCCTACCTTATTGCTACTTATATAATTATTTATTTTTAATATTTTTTTGTACTCATTTTTTAACTATAATTTTCAGCAATTATTAATCTCCTATGTTTCATCAATATATCTCAAATCTTAAGAGATAAAGCTAGAAATTCGATTTGTTAAATCTTAGTCCATTTATATAAAATATGAATAATATTACATTATTAAATTTTACTATATTAGTGTACTATATTTTCTTATTATGTATTAAATTGATTATTATTTTTTTTCATTATTTAAATAATATCCCGTGCATCGCATGGGAGAAAAATGCTAGTTATTATAAAAGAACCAACACGCATTCACTCGAAGTGCACCATAAAAATTCGATTATAGTATAATAATTTGCAAACCACATAAATATAAATTACATTAGATTGACCTAGAAAATATTAAAAAAGAAATTCGAACTTTGGTCAACTGACCGCCCTTTATTACTATTATTTCACTTATTTCACTAATCCTCTTTTCATAGTGGAGTAGTTAGTTTGAGTGATTTACCTGGTAAGTATTGATTAGGGTAATAGTTTATAAAATAATCAGATTCCTTGTTCTTGGAATTATTTGAACCAAACAATTAAATATTATTTAAATATAAAGTGAGGGGCCAATAGAATAGCTTTTGATATAAGATGACAACATTCAAATGTAAACAAAGAGACAATTATGTCAATTTATGTCAAAAATGTTATTCTTTACCTTAAACATGTGATCTTCAAATAAAGATTGTGTAGACGAGTTTTTCGGTTGAATTTTGTGGAGTATGCGTGTAGACGTGCGATAGGTAAACTCTACTCTCGTGCGGTTACGCAAATCACACGAGATGTGTAAATTGCTTTAGCCAAGTCATGTGCGACGAGTTCGACCTAAAAAGTGTTGACAGAGAAAATCGAACTCGAATCGTTAGATATTATAGTTCTGAATAACTGACTGACTGTATTCGGTGCTGATTTACGATAAAATAAAAGATTGGATATATATATTGCGTTGACATTAATACATATGTAATACGCATTCATAAAATAAAACAATAGAATTATCATTTTCAACTATATGATATAGAAAAACTAGCTCAAAAATCAATTTTTTTTTTTAATTAAGGAACCGATCATGTAAATGCATTGCGAAATTCTTCACTCTCGTGCAATAGCTTACAAATCACACTGAGATATAAATCACATTAGGCGCAAGTTATGTGTGCTAAACACGACCAAGAAAGTGTTTACAAAGAGACTCAAAAACTCGATTCATTTGGCATCTCTCTCTTGCTCTACCAACTACAATTTTCGTAACTTTGCTCTGTATCATGTGTTAATTAGTTGAAAGATAATTAATTAATAGAATAATTAACGATAAGACTATATTAGTCAAATAAAATTATATTGCTTTCGCGCAACAACCCAAAATGACAAATATTTCAGCATTCGAGTACAAGGAACCATGTTCTAGTTGAAAATGTTAAAAGTCGAGATCTTCGACAACTTCTTGAGCTCGTGTTAGCTTTAGTTCGTCATACAATTATAATTATTATATGCACCATTAGTTATCAATATTTATTTTAAGCACCATAATACAAAATATTCTTCTATAAGCATCATAACATTACATTCACCGCACATGGATGTATTTGTACATCTGTACCACACTAGAAAAGAAAAATAAAACCATATAGAAAAATAAATATTGTACAAATTAAATAGAAGCCAAAGGTTAAATACTTTTACAAGAGAAACATCAAATAAGAATCTATAAACGAAAAAAAAGAGGGCCAAAATCGTCATTCCTACAGTAGTAGATAGAGTTCGATGCTACGATAGAAGTTAATAAACTTAATGGCCTGCATGTTAGCAGCAGCTCCTTTCGAAGAAGAAGAAGAAAGAAAAAACTACATTTTACCTTAAAACTACAAACAATTTACGACATCTTTTCGTTTTCGTTTTGTCGGAGAGAGCTAAAATAACATTCCTTCCCAACTTCTACCCCAACACAAAATAACAACATAGCTGCATCCACTTTTGATGAGAGGTGAAAAAAAATTAAAGAAATTATGGCAGGTTGCAGCCCGATTCTGAAAGTTGACTTTCGAAACCTGTGCTAGTGATTTTACGAATGGAGGCTCTCGATTTTCTGAAAGAGAAGCGTACCAAAAAAGTCGACTTTTTTAAGCATAGTACATATACAAGCTATTTGCTGCAGCACAAGCGATTGAGTTTTCTGATGGGTGCCATGCCAGGTGGAGCAGCTTCGTAGTGAAATCGAATGAATTCCCATTGGCATCCACAGTGGGGCTCTCTGCACCTGCAAACGTAGGATCGAACATTTCTCGAGTTTAGAAATCGTGCAATTTCATTTTCAAAAGAACCTTTCTTTTTTTGGGAAAATAAATAAATAATACCTCGTCTTACGACACGACTGATGCTACTGGTCAAGGATCTGGAAGGCCTAGAAGGGGTCTGGACCTGCCTTCTGAAAATGCCGTTGAGAGATATTTTAGAAATAAGCAAGATTTTTTTTTTCCGGAAGATTTTTAATCTGATGAAATACCTCATTGGATTTTTGCTTGCTTCTAGAGTAGTTGCCTCGGTACTGCCCGTTGTAGAGCCAAATATACGGAATAGATTGCTGAAAACAATTTTTTTATTTTTTTTATTTATAAACATTTAGTTAGGTAGACAAAGATGTAACAGCACTGAGAAAACGGAACAAAATCTTGACAGTACCTGTAAGAACCAGTAGCCACTCGGTTACCATCACCGCTCAGGCAGCATTCAAATTTATCAAAAATGGAATCATTTTCATACAAGTCGCATAGCTGGATATTATCAAAGTACATTTTTAATCAGCTTCACAATATTTTTATTAAAAAAAAATCACGGATAATGGTGCTTTGGTAAAGAAGTTCACCTTGGGTCTTAAATACTCATGAACCTGGAAGGTTGACACTGGACCAGAATCCATATTAATATCCCACAACTGAAACCAATGAATATGGATCACCGAGAATTAATTAAATGACAAATATAAAATACTGATTATTATTACGTGAATGCAATTCCGACTTCTAAATAAACCTTGTGCATGTAAAATTCCTAGCAACTTATTCCTAATGATCTAATTTCATAAGGTTTAATCATAAAACCCATCGAACATTTTCCATCTCAAAATATATACTGCTTTCAATATGCACATGTTGAACAAAAGAAAAGATGTAAACATGACGAATTCAAATAAGAAAATTGAAGTATTGAAAACAAGCAGCATCGGAAGAGAAGAAATGATAGAGAAGAAGGAGAACCTTAAGGGTCATGTAATCACGGCTCAATAAATATCTTCCATCCCTTGCAAACTTAACATCGGAAATCGAAGCAATTATCTCAGTGAAAAATGATCTTGAGCCAGGTGCCTCCTGCTCCTCAAATCTGTATATGAAAGGTAATGAATGTCTCATCCATAAGATTAAGCGACGAAAAAACCAAAGTAAACAACCCTATATAGCAAAACTAAAGCCGCTCACGGTAATCGAAGATTTGACTTCCCATTTTAGAGATATCGTTGACTTTTTTATAGGAGCATGAAATGGAAATGACTACCAAAGAACTTACAGTTTAGAATGTGAATCACACAGCGCAGATTGTCGCAAATCAATGAGACGGATTGATCCTTTCGAACTACTATATGCTAACATATTGCAATGAGTGGGGTGAAATTCTGCTGAAGTTATCACTTCTGCAGTAAGAACAAGTGGAAACCAATTAAAGCATGTCGCTATTGTAGTTTATGATGATCCCATACTACTGCTCTCTATAACTTTAGTTACAAAAATTGATTTTTTGTCAAACCCAAAAAAAGAAAAATAAAAGATTACCAGTTAGATCCTCCATGTTTGTTGGCTTGACATCAACAATATTGAAACTTTGATTGCTTATTTCCAAGTTCCAAAGATTAATCCGGAGATCATCAGCTGATATAAATGTCTCGCCATCACTGCAATGCATTACAAATAGAAATTAATTGTAAATTCAAATACAGCAAATGACCAGAAGATTGGACCAAGGGGTGCACACTACATCAAAATACGAGCTCAGAATCAAAATCACAGTAAAAGAACTGCATCAAAACTTAAATGACATAAAACTGGTAGCCTAACAAGTAGACGAAAAAAGACAAACAGTTCTTAACCTGTTGTTTGAAATGGAATTGATATGGTAGTCATGTGCATGAGCATATACCCTCCTGCATCTTGCAAGAAGACTTGTCTCGCTGCTTGTGACCTACGATTGTATAGTCAAGTGTTGTGAGGAAAAAATATTATATTTATCCACATTAAATAGTTCTCACTGAACGCTACATAATGTTTAATATTGACATGCACACTCAACACTGAGCTTCATAGCCAGTATTGATAACTGATAAGACTTTAGAAAGTCATATTCACATTAAAGACACGCAAACAAACAGAATATAAGAGAACACCTAGAACTGTTCAACCAAAAGTATCAAAAGCTGGTTAATTTTAAAGAATCTTTAATTTGACCAATACAGCTGTAGCTGAGTTAAGTGCAATTACCACTGGTAATCGCAGTGAGGAGATTCCACCGGGCGGAAAGGACAAGTTGTTGGTTTCAGATTGATCTGAACAGTCACCATTAGCAAGATTGGTCTTAGGACTCGAAGAAAAACTAGAACTTGCAATACCACCATTTCCGGAAGCTTTAATTGGGTCCATATTCATCTCAGAAATTTTCTTGACTTTCTTCTCTTGGACCTGTTAAACAAAGATATAAAATTGTCAAATGAACCACACAGTAACTAATTGAATACTTTGGAACACGAACCCACAAGGGATGAAGCTTTCTAAAGCAGAAAAAAGAAATCTTGATTGATTTAGTTCCCATATTTTTATCGCAAATGTATAATAATCTCCAAGTGGATCTGATTCCATAGAAAGCAGTTATATTTTCCAAAGCTATATTACGGTAAAGATGGGAGTCTCCCAATACCATGAAAATTACTATAAAGTAAACCCATCATCCTTATAAACAAAGAAGGAATCTAAAGACACATGTGATTTAATAAAGTTCAACATGTTAATTTGAAAGATTCACGGAGAAAGTGCGGATATATATTTCTCAAGTTAGTGCATCAATGGCATTAATGCTGATAGACCAACAACGGTTCACTGGGAAGATGCTGAAGGAAAAGGAAAAGAACAATGTTGGAGAATCAAGATCGCACGTTACAAAATATGATGATCAAAAGCTTCAGAACAATAAGATTTGACTAGACGAGCATGAATTGAAGTATAATGACTTAAGGACATTTAACAACAACAAACATTAGTTTTTACCTTCCAAAACTTAATAGTTTTGTCATTAGTAGACAAAAGAAAGAGGGCACCATTGGCTGTCTGGCACCACCGAATCTTGTTGATTTTCTCCTCGATTTCCAAACTCTTGAGATAATCAAACTGAAGAAAAAGAATACGCGCGCACACATTAAATGAAATCCCACATATTTGGATAAGCAATTATTTTTCGAAATTGCTTTGATATGATCTGGATAACAACGAGAGGGGACAAGTTGGAAATTTGCAATAAATACACACCTCAGGTTCATGGCTCTGAAATTCGGTTTTGTAACGAAACTCTGGGTGTCGAGTAACTGAATAATCCATCCTCTCTAAATCTCTTCGATTTCCACCATGCTGCATTTGTATTTGCATAATCGAAAGAAACTTAACATAGATGACAGCATCATCAAGCAATAGAATCTTTTGATATTGCAGAACCTAACCTCTTTAGTATCTGTCCTTTCAAACAACACCACCCTTCCACCACGATCACCAGTTGCCAGATGATCACCAGTTTTATCAAATTCAATGGCTGAGATGATATCCACTGCAAATAAAAAAACGAAAGGTCAAAAACTAAAGATAGATATTCGAGACACGGACATCAGATCAAAGCAAGATACTAGATGATCAAAAGCAGAAAAGAGAAATCTTGGTATATTCAGTTCAAGCCAAAGTAAGACGCAATCAGATACCCTATCTATCAAGAATGTGGGTGACGTTAGAGATAACAATTCATATATCTTTCGTTATTCAGGGAACTATTGATCCTATCTCTAGATGTTGCGCTAATTCATTAGCTAGCAGTTCTCCCCCATCCATTTTCTATTCATAAACCAGTTCATTAAGTTCAACCATCCAAGTTGTAGATTTACAAGTTGTCACACATACCACAACATCTATGGTGAAACTGAAACCTAATTTGGGCAACCGATGAAAATTAATTACTCGGAGAAAGTCAATAAATGCAATAATCAGCAAAAGGGAACAATCATATCTTTCAATTGAAAACAACTTTACGCTTGGCATCCTTCTCTTTCCAACTTATCATGCCAAATCAAGACACTATTGAGAAATTTCTAACGCATGCCAAATGGATATGCGTCATTTCAGGTCTCTTCAAAGTTCAGCATTATCGCATTTTCACCAAACACTTGTAAAGTCCTAGTTCGTTTATTCCGAGAGAATATTGTGGATATATGTAAGCCACAAATGATCTAGTGACACGTGCCCCACTTTACGACCAAAAATTACAAAAAAGAATCTACTTGACAACTCGTGTCTAATATACCATAGCGACTATTAAAGCGAGTTGACTGAAGAACCTCAAGCCCATCAGCTTTGCAACAATTGGCAGCATATATAGATATACTTTCAACTATAGCTTAATTTCTTCATGCAGAGAGTAAACAAGCCTGCTTTCACTTTGCCATACCATTACAATCGAAGCTTGTAGTATAAGCAATGGACTTAGATCTTCGTAAAAACAATCAATAGTACAGAAAAAAGTTGGAAAGCACACTGAAAACAATTACAAAAATCGAAGCCCACAGCTACAATAATCTTGACAAAAACAAAGTGAATTAAGTAAGAACTAAGCAGCATAACATTGAACTGAATTCGCTTCCGAAACAACCGATTATAACACTGACATGCAGATCACTCACTCAAACCCCAGCCAAACACCCTTAACTCCTACTAAAAATCAAGCAATGAAACGATCGAGAAACAGATCAAATTCACAGAAACCAAAACCCTAACAACAAGATCCAAGCCCAAAGCAAACAAATTGGTTCCCCATTTCATCAAATCATCATCTTTTTTTTTTTTTTACCTTCCTGTACTTCTTCGCCGGCCGTTCGCTCGCCAAAGACCTGAGAGAATTTCCATTCTAGCGGCGTAGGTGGACCCGCCGCAGCTGATGCCACCTCCCCACCATCGCCACTGTCCATTCTCGACAATCGAAAAAAAAAAAGGTATACAAAAATGAAACAACAATCGAAAATCGAAGGAGAAAACAAGTATTTAATCTTGTCCTTCCTATTTTCACTCCATTAAAAAAATATTTATAAATTAAAAAAAAAGTGGATTCGTTTGGAGCTAAGGAATTGAAGAAGATCGGAGCAGCAGCAGCGAAGGGTTGGATTCAGATTCAACCATTTTTCAGTGTGTGTGTGTATATATATATCGATTAGTACAATTAAAAAAGGAGGATTTAGATTTTCTCTCTCTCTCTCTCTCTCTCTCTCTCTAAATTAGATATATAGTCTCTGGGTGAAATTTGGGTATTTTTTTAATTTTTTATTTTTACCTCTTCTATCTCTCTCTCTCTCTCTCTCTCTCTCTCTAAAACTCAATTTTCTCTCTCTATCCATCTCTCATATTTTTTTCCCCCATGGCTTTTGCTAATCTCACCCTTGGCAGTACGGAACATGGATAATAAACTTTTGACTTAGAGATGGTGGCATATTAAGGGCGTGTTTGGTGTGAGGATGAAAGGGAACATAAATTATATGTAGAATAAAACACAAAGGAATTTTTTTTTTTTTTTTTTTACAGTCTCGTATAATAGTTTGGAAAATTATACGAGAAGCGTAAAAAAAAAATTTGAAATCTTGTAATGTTTTTGATAAAACTAAGGCCTAGTTCGATTACTAGTCATAAGTATTGTTGATCGAAAAAAGAAAAAAAAGATTGGCTAATGAGATTTGTACTTATTTCAATTCATTGTAAAAGTTGTAATTCACAATTAAATACTGTTATTTCATGCAATTAGTAGCTTCTCATGTAATAGTATAGGGTGAGTAAGAAAATGAAAAGATAGTTATCTTTAAAACCATAACTTAATGGCTTAATTCCACTTTGCACTCTTAAAATATACCATTTTGGCACTTTGCACAATCGAAAAATAATAACAGCACTTTGCATCCTCAAAACACAATAAATCATTCGCAATACACCCCGAATTGAATAATAAATAATATTTCATTTTTCATTAGTGTTTTTGCAAATTAAAAAAATAAATTGTTATTTTGTTGAACCTCCAACCTAATTTCGAGTCACAAAGTAGAAAAAAATAAAAATTACACCAAATTATTTAAAAAAAATATATTTTCTTACAAAAAATAAAATAAGCTTGTATAACTAAATTATTCGATTGATAAATCTTTTATTGTAACAGGTTAACAATATAAGGTAATAATATTTGGAATAAAATATGATTGTCATATAACCTGATAACATAACGGAATAGCTGAATGATTTTTCTTTTGTAAAATATTTTATTTTGATAAAAAAATATAATTTTTAAATATGTTGATGAAACGTATTTTTATTTTTTCACTTTATGGTTTCAAAATGATTGATGAATTAAAAAAATATTTGTCATTTGGCATCCTAAAAAAATATCACTAAAAATATTAAATTACATTTTTTAGCTTTAAAATTCATTTGGGGTGCATTGTGCATGATTTATTGTGTTTCGAGGGTGTAAAGTGCTATTTATTTGTTTCGAGGGTGCAAAGTGCCAAAATGGTATATTTTAAGGGTGCAAAGTGAAATTAGGCCTAACTTAATTTTGTTAAGTTAGAGGTTTTAAAGATGGTATACAAATATTTAATACAATATTAATCTAAAATTAGTGAGTCGTAGGGAATTAATTCAATCCAAATTCCAAACTATTCCGATATAGGTAAACAAATGAGACCTAAATAAATTGTGGTTGGAAGGGATTTTTTTATCTTATCACATTTTCCATTTTATGTGATATCGTAATATTTTGTACTCTCATTATTTAAGTCACGCCGTTTATTTTGTACTTCAATGCATATAAAATTTCTTTTTATTTTACTTTACTCGGACCAAATTTAACACTGCACCAAAGCTCTGGAATCGGACAAATCTAAAATTGGCACTTTTGGAAAAAAAAATGGAAGTGAAAAATTAATTTCAATTAAATGTTAGTAAAAAAGTCAATATAAAAAAAATTATTAGAAAACTATATAAATGTCGATCGAAATCGACGAATTCGAAGTTTCCATATTCTATTCACCTATAATATAAAATAAATAATTTTATTGATATTATAAATGTAATATTTTGTGAAATAGGTGTATGGTAGGGACAATAATGTCATTTTCAAAACCACGATCTGATAAATTTCTTAGAGAAAGATGACAACTAGTGGTAGAGTAGTATCCTTTTTGTCCATCTTTTTTGTCCGAACCAAACGCACCCCAACTTTCTACATTGTCTGTGAGGAGAATATTATTATTACTCAAGTGAATAACTAGAATTGACATATATGCCCCTTGTCTTCATCTTCTTTACTTTTTGGAACTCTTTTTTTTTTTTCAATTTTTTGTCAAAATGGGATTAGATGAATTTGGTAGAGACGTAATTTGTTTTGTTGTGTTGTGTTTGGGGAATCAAAAAAGGGGTTGGATGGTTATTTATTTATTATTATTTTTGTTGAAACTGAAGCATGAATTTTGTGAAAAAAGTTTTATTTATTTATTATTATAAATATAAATTTACAAAATAAAAAATGATATAAAAACTTTATTATAAAATATTATTTTGGGCCATACCTTTTTGTATATGATGTTGGGCCTTTGCCGATGATTAGTCCATTATCGTATAATTCGGCCCATTCCACATGTGTGTTGGTCCCACGCTTCCATATTTTTTTAAGTCAAATTACGGTTATTCATTAAGTAAGATTAAATTACGAAAAAACTTCTTTTATTTGGATAAATACAAATATCCCCACGACTATGTATTGAATGATGTGAGTTTTCATAAGACATAGTTGATGGGCGATTGTAATTACCAAACAAGAGGGATTTTTTCGTAATTTGATCTTATTTTAGAAAGGTGGCCGTAATTTGCCCTTGCCCCAGGAAGGTGCCTGTAATTTGCCCGTTTTTCTAATTCAAATTAGTTTTTGATTTATATGAACTAGTGTTGACAATAGCGAACAAAATAATTATTGAAACACATGACACTAAAAATAAGTATATTTGAAGAAAATATTAAGTGAAATATCATTTATAAAAAGAATTATAAAAAAAATCATTACCGTTTTCATAGAAAAATAAAAAAGTTAGAAAATATAATAATTACATCGACAAAGAAAAATAATTACAAAGATGTTAGAGAAATAAAAAATTAAAAAAATAATTACACCGAATAATAAAGAAACTAAAAAAATTAAAAATAAAAAATAATTAGAAAAATAAAAATTATTATTTATTATTAAACACCTTTTACATCATTACATGTGTCAACGTTTATTTTTTGTAAATAATAATTACTTAATAGAAAATAATATTATTCAATAATTGTTACTTCTGGATAATTTTTTTTGAGTTAGAAAATTAAGGGGTAATTTGAGAGAAGTCCTTAAAATTTACTATTATTCCAATTATGGGCAATATATATTTTTTATATTTCAATTAAAGGCCATCACACTATTTTTCACAAAAATAATTTTTCTCAATTTTTCATTTTTGTTTCCTTTTTTCAGAAGATTTTTTTTTTCTTATTCATTCTCTCTCTCTAAAATTTCCAACAAACTCAAAAATCCAGTTTCGTCTTCCACCATCGACTTCAATAATCACTCATTTCACTGTAATTTTGTTTATTTACTGATTGGAGAAAACACGATTCCGAACACGATCCCGCTATTTCCTTCTTCTCTTACACCCCTCCACAGACCTTTCCTCACTCCAATTTTTTTTCGCCTGTAAACTTCAAGATTCTCTTTTTTTTTTTCACCCAAGGTGCAAGGCAAGCTGATCTAATTTAATTTTTTTTTTCAATTTTTTTTTGTTCTTTCGTTACTTTTTTCTTATGTTTGGAGTGATTATTCGTTGAAATTGATTCTGGGTTTTCAATTTATAATCTAAAAATTGTATCTTTTTAGTGATGTTTGGTGGGATTGTTGGTTTCTTTCGTTATCTCTGAGGTTGCATTGTTTTATATACATATTCGTATATATAATTATATACACACAGATATATATATCTGTTGGCTTAAATTCTGGCAAAATATGTGGGCTGTTTCTTGAATTTTTCATTTTGTCATTTTAATTTCAGTTCATATCTTTTGATTGATGTTTTGTTATGAATTATGATGTTTAATCTCGTATACCGATACGGGAAATGAATAGGCCTATATCTCATGGTGTATGGTGCACAAGATATATACATAGTAAAGATGAAAGCTTCCGTTTGTGTTTTGCTGCATATCGAGGTACACAATTATAGACCCTAATTGTTCTTCGTTCAAATTCAAGTACCAAACATAGCTTAACGACAGCAAATATAGAGTGAATAGAGTTTTCTTGTTAATTGTGGCACATGAACTAACGTGTATGTGAAGAAACTAAGGACTCATTTGGTTGGGAAGATTAACCGTGATTAACTAAATAATTGGACTTTGTTTGATGTTTGGTATACCCGATAACTTCTAGGGTCGACAAGTAAATATTATATTATCATGGCTTATCTTGTCTTTTAGGTTCGGTTTCATTACATTATTTAATCTTATCTTGGCTAATCCTACCTTGGCAACCAAACGAGGCCTAAATTGATTTGAGAAGATAGCGTGTCGTGATACGTATGTTCTTCTATATGATATCGTATTCTATACAATACATAGCTCATTTGAATCGCCAAACATCGTTGGTCATGAGAGTAAATAGAGTTTTCTTGTTTTAATTCGAAACGTAGAGAGTTCATTTTTTTTTTTGAAATTTCAGAGAGGGAAAAATCTTTGATGCTGAATGTGAATTCGAGCCGTTTGAATAATTGGGATGACTTCTATGATGGATGATAATATGAACTTGCTCCATCAGGCTCAGAGGCTTAATAACAACAGTCTCGTAGTTCGTGAAATCGGCGAGGAAATCGATTTGGAAATCGGTCCAGAAGAGGACGAACAATCTTTCGCGCACCACACTCTCCTCGATGTCCACACACACGAGTCTTCCCCGGTCAAAGATCACCCCGAAAACTCGAACTCGCATATGATCGGCTCTCAGCTTCTGAGCGACGATCAAGATTTGTCCAAGGGGCAAACTGGGAAAAGGAAGAAGAAAGTTGTTAAGAGATGGAGGGAGGAGTGGGCCGAGACGTATAAGTGGGCTTACGTCGATGTGAAAGACGGGACCGCGAGAATATTCTGTTCCGTGTGTAGAGAGTACGGTAGGAAGCATAGAAGAAACCCGTACGGTAACGAAGGGAGTCGGAATATGCAGATGAGTGCGTTGGAGGAGCATAATAATAGCTTGCTTCATAAAGAGGCTCTTCGTTTGCAGCAAGCTTCTAAGGAGAAGCTAATTGTTGATAAACCGATTTACGTCAAAGGTCCGTTTTTTTCCGTATAATTTTCCTAGCATAAGTCCAATGCATCAGCATAGCACGATTAAGGTGATTAATGCACACTATTTATATGATATTAATGCACGATTAAGTCCGTTTTTTTTTTTTTGTTTTTTTTTTAATCTCATACGATTGAACACGTAAGTGCAGCTCTAATGTCGAAATCGGCTGGATCGATTGTTGAAGCTGCATTGAGAAGAGATCCGCACGAAGCCGAATTCATACAGTCTGTTCAAGAAGTTGTTCACGCTTTGGAAAGAGTTATCTCGAAAAATTCCAAGTATATTTGCCTCGTCAATCATGTTTTTAAGTTAGTATTCGATTTTTTAATTTTTTTTTGACGGAAGTTTGTGATGAATATTTGCAGCTATGTAAATACCATGGAGCGATTATTAGAACCCGAACGGACAATTATATTTAGGGTTCCGTGGGTGGACGATAGGGGCGAAATGAATGTGAATCGAGGATTTAGGGTTCATTTTAACCAGACACTTGGTCCATGCAGGGGTGGTCTTCGTTTTCATCCATCGATGAATTTGAGCGTTGCTAAGTTTCTTAGTTTTCAGCAGGTGCGTTTTTTCGTTCTTGTTATATTGTTTGAGATATACTAATTACATTCTTGGTTTTTTCTTTTGTACATTTCTTGAAATTTTTACTTGTACTAGTGGGTAGTTAGGGGTGGAAATTGGAACGGAATTTTCAAATTCCGACAATAGTAACCCAAAATTTTCCGATTTTGGAACAATATTTTTCATTTCGAATTCCAAAATTCCAATTTTCCCAAATTTATTTTTTTCGAAATTTAACTTGTAAATTATAATATCAATATAGTTATGAATTTTATATTATACGTGAGTAAGAAAATGGAAAAATGGAATTTCCAATTTTTTCAGATTTCGATCCAAAAAATTCCCAATTTTCGAACGAGTTCTTTTCGTCCAATTTCCGAGATCCCGGGATCCGATTTTCCCATTTTGTTTTTTGGAATAGAATTGGAATTAGTTTTTCACTTTTGGATTTTTTTCCAAAAGTGCTAATTCCGTTCGATTTCCACTCCTAAGTGGGGGTTCTTAGAGGACACGAATTAAGTTGCACGTCCTCCCGTAATCTTTTTCTTTTGATTTGAAATATAAGTAATAGGTTCTTCAAATATACAATATAATGCGTCTAATTTCACAGCTTTACAATGTTTTATTTTGCGTGCAGACGTTAAGAAATGCTCTATCACCGTACAGGCTCGGAGGCTCTTCGGGAGGGAGTGATTTCGATCCCAAGGGCAAAAGTGACAACGAGGTCTTTATATTTTGTATCCGCAAATATACGAGTAAATAAAAATCAAATCTTCAAAACATCGACCTCGTATATTTTTTTTTCTGAATCTTGAATCGCATTTTTTATAGATCATGAAATTTTGCCAAAGCTTCATGAACGAGCTGTACCGCTATTTGGGTTCCGACAAGGTATTATTGTAAGACGGTACATGCTCGGTTTTTCTCTAGTCTTGTCTATGAGTCATCATTACTTTTTTTTTTTTTTTTTAATTATTATATATTTTTTTTTCTTTTCGAAATAGGATCTTCCTTCGGAGGAAATGGGCGTTGGCACTCGTGAAATGGGCTACTTATACGGACAATATAGACGTTTGACTGGTCATTCTCAGGTTAAAACTGCATACTTTATGAATTTTTTTAGTCTGAAAAAACGGAGTTGTATTTGCACTTGTCTTATCGAATTTGCCAAACTCGTTAGCTACTGTTTGAAATTAATTCCCTTAGGCCTCGTTTGGGAGTATTGATGAGATTGATAAGACCGATTAAATTGGATAGGATTACATGGGCCATGATAGTGCAATATGTCATTTTTCTTGTGTTCCGGATTTATGATTATATAATCCTTGATTAAATCCCGGGCCTATTTCTAGTCACGGGCTTCAATCTTTGACTATATTGTCTATCAAATCATATCCTTTTTCCCGAACGAGGCCTCAGTGTATTAATTAATCTCTTATGGTATTTAACTTGTAATATGATGCAACTCTTTGAAAACGGAATTATTTTCGAGTGATAATGGAATAGATTTTGGTTATGCAGGGAAGTTTTACCGGGCCGAGAATAAGTTGGTCTGGCTTGAGCCTCCGTACCGAAGCTACTGGCTATGGATTGGTAACCAAATTTTCCCTTGATCATCTCTACGCTTACGAATCGGAATTTATTATTATTATGATGTTAAATCTATTTGAACCCTCTTTCGTTCTTTGCAGGTTTTCTTCGCCCAACTTATGCTTATGGACATGAATAAAGAACTAAAAGGACTAAGGTTTTTTTTCTTCTTCTTTTTGTTTAGTGAACTTATTTAAATAGGGTAAATTACAACCACCCCTCTGAGGTATGGTCAAATTACGAAAATCCCCCTCTTGTTTGGATAATTACATCTATGCCCCTCAACTATGAGTCTTCTTACACCTCCACCTTTATGGTGTCAAATTCAACATAATCATCTAGATTCCGTGAAATGTGCTCTAGTTTGTACTCGTTTTGTATAAAAATACAGTTTATGATGCACCACAATCTGATATATACAAGCCAAAAAACACATCTTATGATCATCTTGCTTCAAAATATAGAGCGCGAATGAGATAAAACGGGTACAAAAGTGATAATATTCTATATAATCAAGAAGATTCCTCTAAATTTGAAACCGCAAGAGTGGACGTGTAAAAAGATTTATAGTTGATGGGGTGGTTGTAATTACCCAAGCAGGAGGTGGGTTTCGTAATTTGACCATACCTCAGGGGTGGTTGTAATTTACCCTATTTAAAATATAGTTTTACAATGTTTTTTTTTTTTTTTTAATTTATTTATTATTTTCTTCTTCTTTTTTCATTCGGATCGATTCTTTGCTTCACCAGATGTGCAGTCAGTGGTTCCGGAAAGGTATCGATGCACGTCCTAGAGAAGCTTCTTGCTTACGGTGCTCTTCCCATTACAGTTTCAGGTATTAAATTTGTTATTTCGATGTTTGAATTTATTAATTTTCGAGTATTATAAATTTATAATTCTTTTTTTTTTTTTTTTTGACAGATTCAAAGGGTTATTTGGTGGACGAGGACGGATTTGATTTCATGAAAATATCTTTTCTGAGAGAAATTAAATCCCAGAATAGAAGTTTGAGGTTTGTAAAAAAAACTATTTGCTTCTCCAATATTTAAATTTCAAATCTTTATCACCTTAAAATAAATTAACACACGTGCAGAGACTATTCGAAAACTTACGCCCGTTCGAAGTACTACGACGAAGCAAAGCCTTGGAGCGAAAGATCTGACGTGGCATTCCCTTGTGCCTCTCAGAACGAGATCGACCAATCCGATGCCATCAATTTAGTCAACTCCGGTTGTCGTATAATTGTAGAAGGTACTAGTCACTATCAACTTCTATATATTGTTATCCATCTCGAGATTTTTTTTAATTTAATTTTTTATTTATTATAGGCTCGAATATGCCTTGTACGCATGAAGCGGTTGATGTCTTAAGGAAGGCCAATGTTTTCGTTGCTCCGTCAATGGCTGCCGGTCTAGGAGGGGTATATTACATATTCTTCGACCCCTCGATTTTATGTGTATATAAATTAATATATTTAAAAAAAATAGGTTACAAATAACATACGATTTTTTTTCTTAATCATTGCTATTAATCTATTACAGGTAGTAGCCGGGGAACTCGAACTTAAAGAGTGTAATTTAAGTTGGTCTCCCGAAGATTTCGAATCCAAATTACAGGTACGTAACAAAGATTTCGAAAGTAATTTTAAATCGAGTAAAATAGATTTAATCATATTCTTCGCATTTATGACATAGTTCTGGTTTCGTTATTCTTAAAAATTGTGTAGGAGGCGATGAAGCAAACGTACCAAAGAGCACTCAAAGCAGCAGCTGATTTTGGTTACCCGAAAGAGAGTCCCGAGTAAGGCGATTAAATTATATATTTATACCCTTTGCACGTTTTTTTTTAAATAATTTTAAATTTCAATTTTTGTGCTCGTTTGGATCGTCTGAGGTTCGTTCATATTACTTGGTGTAGGGCTTTGGTGCATGGAGCAGCCATATCAGCTTTTCTGACAATTGCAAGTAGTATGGCCGATCAAGGGTGCGCGTAAACCAATGATATATATCGTTAATAAGATGCTTCTAGAAGTTTATACATTGAAAATTGAACTCGAGAATGCAGTTTTCGAGTGCTAGAGGGATGCTTTAGAAATTGTGGTTTTTAGCTATGTAGACAAAATTTTGCTTCATTAAGGTGTGATTAGTCAACAATTGAAACAAAATCTATTCATATTCTGATTGCTTGTAATACAATTTAAATAAGCTCGAGTTTTAATAATACTGTTTCGACTTCAAACGTGAATTTGATCATTTTTTACTCAAAATTTCACAAAACCGGAAACTAAAAATTTGTAGGTTTTTCAGTTAGCTTTCTAATCCAAGTTGAATCACCAAAATCAAATGTCAAATGAGAAAGATATACATTAATCAATAAACCTACTAACAACTTTGATGTATTTAGTTATCTAAAACTCAAAATGTGACTTATTCATGCATAATTTTATCACATGGCATACAATCTCTAATCTTGCCAAAATCAAACTAAAAATATATAAAAATCAGGTTCGAAGTCAAAACAATATTATTAAACTTGAAACGACATTTAAAATTTTAGTATTTAATTTTTGAGAATCGAAGTGAAGAGTGAAAAGGTGTATTGGCTATAAAAACATTTTCTAACACAATCAATCAATTTCAACAAAAAATTCACCAGAAAATCATTAGGCAAAGCAAAGCTAACAAAATCTACAAAATCAAGAACCAAAACTCTAAAACAATAGTTGATTAATACCTCAGTCGGACAAAACACTCGAAACAAAAACGTAAACAAGGCGAAAGATCAAAATCCATTTGCGTCCAACCATAAAATGCCATATCGTCTACTAAGACAAAAATTACTGCGAAAATAAAAACAGCAAAAAAAAAAATAGTTTCGGAAAATCTATCAACGCATACATCGGCACCGAAAGAAGATTTAATTTATATAGCAATGCAACACACACTACATCTGCTATTTGAATTATATCCAGAACTTTGAATTAAGTCCTGTTCTTCTTCTTCATACCGGACTTGGAAACCTTGAGGCTTCTGTTGACAACGCTCAATCTAGCTAGGGCTGCCTTCTTCAGATCAGGCCTGTAATAGTTATCAGCCACCTGCACCGATAACCAGCAAATTCAATATTCAAATTGTCATAAAATTTCGAGAAATCTTCACAAATTAAACTAAAACAAAATGTTTTTCCCAATAAAGTTAGTAATAAACAGGAAACTCCAATAATGCAATATCATTGTGAATATATGATCCAACGTATTTACTTAAATTAAGTAATCATTGTTGTATTTAGTTGAAAAGGATTGAATTTTCATCTATACAATTACAAGTCTATGATCTATCTAAATGAAAAAATTAAGGCTTGACGAAAAGATCGATGTAATTAATCATAATATAAATAACGAATTGTTCAATCATGACTAGGTAAATCTAACCCTTGGTATTATACAAACCCCTAGCGCGTTAATAATATTGTACCTGGTTAGAAACAGCCTTGGCCATACGGTGAAACTCTTTCTTCATGAGAGACTTGTTGAGCAAAGCGGAGGGCTTGTTCTGCTTCTTCGTCTTTGTTGTGCCGAGGAGCACACACTGATCCTTGCCTGCTTGAATTGTCACCGTCTTCTTGTTTGCCAATCCTATAATAACAATCATAATATACAAATACCATAATTAATTTCACATAAAATTAATGAGAAAAAAAACCCCCCAATATATAATCTAATATCAGAAAAATTTAGTCATAATTCTGTCAAAGCTTATTCAATCCAGAATAATTTGCAGTCAATTCAATCCAATCCAATCCAATCCAACAAATGTATCAAATCATATTACCAATTTCCACAAATCAACCAATTCATTGTTCAGACATTGAAAAAAATCCTGATATACCAAAATCGAAGAACAAAAAATAAAATTTCCGATCCCAAATCTGAATCCCAGGTAGTCAATAAACTATTCAACAGGACAAATGAATTGAGTAAATAAAATAAAATAAAAAACCTGAGTGCTTGTAGGAGTGGAGGTTGCAGAGATTGTTAGGCTCCTTGCTGAACCTGATGCCGGCGGTGCCATTTCCGAACTGCTTCACCAGAAATGAATTGTTCTTCTTCACGATCTCCCATATCAGCTGCCCAGGCACAGTCGCCATTTCTCAAAACACTGTATTTACACCAAATCACAACACACACACACGTTATTTCAGTACAGAATATATACATATAGATTAACACGGCGTTTGATTGGGATCTAGGGTTTTACCTTGGACGGGGACGCAAATGGAGATGCTAGGGTTTTGCAGAAGCGACGGCTTTAGGAGAGTGATGGACCGCTCTTTGAGAATATTTATGGGGAGGTTTTTTTAACCCTAGGAAGGCGTTTTCATTTCAATTACTAAAATGCCCCTTTCTTGTTTGTATTTCATTATTTTTTATTTTTTTTCCTTATTATTATTAGTAATGTAAATCAATTCTTTTTCTTTTTTTTTTTTTTGAAAGAAATGTAAATCAATTCTTGTTATCTCAAAATAATAAACAAAATTTTTAGATGTAATTTCCGATTCATTCGAAATTTTTTGGAACTTCAAAATCGGATGCGATTTTAATTTTTCGAAAAATTATTTTGAAAGATTCAACTTTCTTTTTTCCTGGTTACACATATTATAAATAAGGGTGGTAAACGAGCTCAGCCGACTCGAAAAAAACTCGAACTGGAGCTCTTTTTTAATTGTTCGTGAACTCAGGAGCCATGGGAGCCTTTAATAATATATAATAATATAAATGTTATAATAATAATAATAAAATAACATATAAAAATTAAAAATATATATAATTACACTTCCTTGTTTATTTTGTAATATATATATATATAAAAATAATAAAAAAAGAAAAACCAAATTGAGTTTGGACTCGAACTCGACCCAAAATAAATAAATACTCGATTAGCTCAAGATCGACAAAATGAACTCGAGCTCGAGCCTGCCAAAAGAGCCGACCTCGCCGAGGTTGGCTCGTTCACAACCCTAATTATAAATAGTAAAAGAAATACATGAAATAAATAAATAAATAAATAAAATAAAATAATAAAATCCAAAAGTTGGTAATACCATAATCTGAAGAAAGTCTACAAAGTACAAAAACTGAACAAAATTGTACATGATATATACACAGTCAAAAAAACAGCCTAAATTCAAAGAAACTTTAGTACATCTACAAACAACAACACATGTGTAGTTCCTATGACAACAAAAATGTCACAATTATTGTAATAAAAAAAAAGAAAAAAAAAAGAAAAAAAAGCTGAATTTGGCAGTCTATGTAAACTAAAAAGCCTGCAGAAAATCAAGGAGAACACAACAACATAACCCTGTCACAACAACTCTCTCCGATCCCGAAACTCATTTCCCGCCCGTCGAAACCAAACGCGGGGCGGGTCGACCCGACCCGTTCAACGACGCACTAATCCTACTAAAAACCACATTCAACGGTACACACGCTATACAAGGACCCTTCTTCACCTTCTCCATCACCGGCTTCTTCTTCTTCTTCTTCGTCTTCATCTTATTCGCCTCTCGGCTCAGCCTGTGGGGCCCGCTCAATGCAGACAGCTTCCTAGTCTTCTTCGACAGCTGTCCGCTGTTTTTCTTCGACTTCTTTGTTGGCCTCCCACGATGCTTCGTCTCCCCGTAGAAATCGATGACGTCATCGCACGAGCTGTCATCCAATACCTCAACGGCAAGGGGGTGGCCCACGATCGGCTGCCGGTTCAGCCTGCTCATGAGCGAGATGTACGGGACCCGCTGTGGCCGGGACTCCGTTTTCACCTCCACGGCCACATCGAACAAACCGGACCCCGCCACATTATTATTATTATTACTATTATGGTGAGCGAGGGAGAAGTCGGAGGAGTCATACTTTGGGTTGACTGTGAGACGCGTCTGACGGTAGGGCATTGACCTATGTGGGACTGAGGAATCCACGGTGGAATCTATTCCTCCTCTCGGGGGAATATTCCAGCTCCAGCCTCGGAACTCGATTTCCGTGACGGGCCTCGTCTTGACACGGGCCTCGTCGAGTTTCCTCGTCCTGGAATTCCTCTTGCCTTTCGAACGCCACTTGCTAGTGCCTTTTTCCTCGTTGCCTGAAGAAATTAGGGTTTTGGTGGGATTGCATTGGCTTGGGCGGGACCCACTGGATTGTGGTGCATCGGAAATAATCGAGGATAGGCCTGTATAAAGTGAAATTCAGACACGGGCTTGTTAGATAAATTACAGGATACGTTTCATTCGTACTGTTAAGATAAAGATACTCGAAAGACGAGCACGCGAGATATATTTAGGGGTGGGAATCAGATTGACTGGATCGGAATTAGCACTTTTGGAAAAATTCCAATTTTTTTGGGAAGTGAAAAACAAATTCCAATTATGTTCCAAAACTTGTTCCAAAATCGGAAATTTCAGGATATATTTAGGAAACTTAGAAATTCCGAAATAGTTAGGAAATTAAAATCGGATCGAAATTCGGAATTAATATTTATTCAAATTGCTAAGAAAATGGAAGATCGGAACTTGGAATTTTTGGAATTTGGAATGAAAAATGTTATTCCAAAATTGAAAACATTCGGATCGAAATCGGCGTAATCCGGATCCGAATTTGAATTTTTCAATTTCCACCCCTGATATATTTGACATAGCTAAAAAAAAAAACCATTTTAAGTACAACCACATAGATCGTACCTGCCGAGTGCTTTTCTTCAGCAACGAGATGCACATCAAACAAACTTCTAGAAGATTCACTTTCCGGAACATCATTGTCCCGTTTAAATTTCAACGAAGCATCGAACAATGCACCGTTCTCGCATGAAACTCCATTACCATCCGAATCGTTTTTCTTCAATTCATCAGATTCCAATCCACAAACTTTATCGCCCGAAGCGGGCCCCGATAATCGAGCAGGCATCATTGTAGTACTACACTCCAAGACTTTAGTCAAAGCTCTCCTCCGATTCTTCCTCTTCAACATTTCTTGTTTCACACAATCGACCTGCGATCGTTTCCTTTTCAGCAAAGATGCTACGCTCATACGCTTCACTCCTTGTCCATCTTCTTCCGATTCATTCGGATTCTTGATTTCTTCTTCTTCCTTAGCCAAATCCGAGTCCTCTTCGTAACTATTCAAATCTTCTTCTTCTCCGTCTTCCTCTTCGGTTTCTTCACCAGGGTTGTGAAATAATGCGGAGGGCGATTCGTCGTTTACATTTTGCGGGTCTTTTTCGAGACGAGCACTTTCTTCGAGCTCGAGTGCGTGAAGAATGGCATCTTCTCTTCGGGCGTATTTGACCGCTCTTTTAGAGAGATGTGATGCGGTAGAAGCAGCTTTGACTTTCTCGATGCAGTTGTCGTACTCTCCGCAGTGAAAAGCTTTTACTCTTTTTGATTTCTCCAGATTGTACCAGTCCCTGAAATAGCACCCCAACAAGAAAAATTCAAATCAAATTACAATATTTTTGTGAAAGAAACAAAAAGAATCTAGGAAATATATTCCAATAAGCAATCAATATATTCGAAGAATCGGTTGAATTTCAAGAATCTAATGTACTATGGTTCTTGTTCATATTATCTTTGGTTCAAGAATCAGAGTGATATCTCAATATACAAAACTCGAACCAGATATCACAAGTTATATTGTTTTTTAATTAGTTAACAGAATTTGCATTAAGCGAATTTCCGAAAAATGACAGCTCACACAAACGAGATTAATGAAGTAATAAATAAATGAGATATACTATAAGAGCCTTGTTGGTGTACAACAGACTCACCATATAAAGCCACAACTTGTCTACTATACCGAAAATCTGATTTCTCGTATATTTTGGTGTTCTAAGTTTTGTCTAATAAATGTTTGTCGTTTCTCAAATTGGTCGTGTTCATGCGTTTTAATTAGTCGTTACACGAAGAGACATAAAACCAAACCGAACTCCACTAGTAAACACGTGTCCAATTCTAAAGTAACGATTAACGGACACTAGGATAATATAGAAAGAATGCCGCCAAATTTAAAACCGGGAATATTCCGTTACACTCGAACCACACAAGCAAATCCTTCGCCGACATAAATTTAAACAAAGATTCCAATTTTACGAAGAACAACGATCAAGAAAAAGACAATTTGAAATAAATCGTCTAGATACGAAAACGACAGTGGTCACACTCAAACGGAACATTAGCCCGTTATTCCATTTTCTCTCAGCATGCACACAACTACAACATCACACACACAATAACGACTTTCACGAGTAGCTATTCGAAAACCACGAAAATCAATTAAGTAGTAATTTTAATTGATAATCAAGAAACACTTACACACTTGCATCAACTCTACCGAGGAGTTTTACGGGGGTGCCTGCTCTTGGGGAGGGCACACTGCCCTCGGGCAATTCGTCCGGGCCGAGAATTTTACCGGGCCACCACGACCCGTTTCTCCGGCGAACCCAAACCAAAGCCCCAGCTGATGTATCAATGCCCTTGCTGGGGTCTTCCCCAGAACTCCCCATTTACAAGCCACAATAAAAATCGAATCTTTAATTGTTTTAAAACCAAACAAAATCAAGAAATGGAACAGAAAGGTGGGATTTTTATTTCTCCAATTCACTTGTTTCAAGAATTATCTGAAACCCTCCTGCAGAGCAATTAATTATTAGAAAAAAATGACAAAACCCAACTAAATTAAACTTCAAAATCAGAAGAACAACAAAATTAGATTGGGGAAAACACAGGGTTTTAAAAGGGGAGAAAGAAAGATACAGATCTGGCAAAGGGAATCAGTTCATCACTATATATATAAGCGCCGGTGTGTGTGTGTGTGTGTGTGTGTGTGTGTGTGTGTGAGTGACGAAAAGTGAAGTAGAGTGTTCTAAAGAAAATGGGTTTGAATTTGGACATACCTTTTTGGGATCTTTATGCCAACACAGACTAGCTATCAGAGAGAGAGAGAAGAGAGAGGAGAGAGAAGAGGAGAGAGAGATTTTCTTGAAAACACAGTGACCATTAGAATCTGATATATATATATTTTCTGGAGAAAAAATAAAAAAGAAAAGAGAAAACGTGCTGCGGCTAGGCACGACAACTAGTATTATTAGTATTTCTACGCTTTGTAGGCCCCAAAGTACACACTTTTGCAGTCGGTTTGAAAAGCTACTAAATCCACAGAAAAAAAGAAAATTTTGTATCGAAGAATCTTTTTTATCCAACGGTCCTGATTGATTGTGCTGGTGTCAGATCAACGGTGAATATGTGGTTTGAAGGGTTTAATTACTCTCTACAACTCTGCAATTTCACCTCAAAGAAACATATATACATATATATAACAAGAATCATCATCGGATGCATGCAGGCATAAAAAGATTGAATCTTTATGGTAAAAAGATTCAATTTTTATGGTTCAGCCTATTTAATTATTATGTGGGCAGCATTGTATGATTTCTGTTCAATTAAAAGTTTCAAACTTTATATATATATTTGTCAAATTACTTCACTTGGCATTTTTAGTCATCATTGTTTTCATAGCAAAATAATAAAAATATTTAGCAAAAATAAAAAATTCTTAAAATGGAGCCATTGTAAATTGATTAGTGGAGTGAGAGATGATCCGCGAAACGCTCGCGAAATCGGCCCGTATCGAAACGTAAGAACATTTTATAGCATATTAGCGTTATATACGAGTAGATGAAAACGAGCAACACGTAGAATATCGAACAATAACTACCTATATCACATAACTTGTATATACGGTAATAAACTAATAGTACGCATTCCGCATACGACTAGCTAGGGGGGGGGGGGCGATCATGGCTTTGCGACTGATTCCTTACGCAGGAAGTTTCGTTGATTTCGCTCGTCTCGACTAGGAACGGCAAACGAGACGGAGCTAGTGAGTCTTCGGAATCTCTGCTGGACTTTTTGCATGACTTTGGGTGTTGTATTTTTAGGTCTCGATATATGAAAACCGATGGCGTCCAAGTACCAACCGCCCCTCCCTTTGAACCCTACAATTTGGCCCCCTTCCATTGGTAAGGAGAAGGGGGTGCCTTCTTCTACCCCAAACGGCCCGAATGTTCTCCGGTTAGTCTTGAATGTGAGTGAACGGATAACGGGGCTGCCACCGTGGACCACCGGCGAGTAATAGCCCGTCACCGTTGTCAAGATTTCGTCCGGAAACTGCAGCTTGATCTGTGGATCCGATTTACTTGAATTGTATTATGAGTTTGTAAATACACATGAAATTATTTATTAACATCATACGTGTATTTTTTTCGGAAAGAAAAAAAACCGCCCGGGCGCATTTTTTAACATTGGAATCATATCGGAAAATCATAATAACCAGTTCCGATCCAAAAAAAAATTCAAAAAAATCAGAAGTCGGCAGAACTCGGAAATTTCATTCCGATCTCTACCACTATAACTAAATTCATTTCAATCGAACATATCTATTCAAGAAAAAAACGATTACCTCAGCAATTTTGGTACCTCCAGCACCTCCGTGTTTGTCTCCAGAAACAGGCTTATCGTTCTTGTCATAAACTATACGTATCGAATCAATACAACGGCCATACATAACTGTGATTTCCCTCACACCGTTATAACTCCCGTCATCCCAATTAGTCCCTCCGTTACCTCCCCACGGCCCCACAACTATCGCCTTCTTCTGAGCTGCCTGGTTTTGCTCCTTCTCCCCTTCCTAAAAAACATGAATCAAAACACCACAAATTCATATGTTAGCATCACACACTCAAAAATCAAATAAGCATCGACAAATAATTTGTTAAAAAAAAAAATTGAACTCATGTACCATGATAAGAGCTGTAAGAAAGTGATGTCAAATTCGGAGACTAAAATGATAAATTTACTATATATAGAGAGAGAACAAGAAAGTTATACATTTTTTTTCGAGTATCTGATTCTCCGAGTAAGCACCATTGAGGAAAAGAAGTATGCTTTTTTCACATTTTAGCATCAAAATTTGTGGTGCAAATTCCTTTTAAAACACTTTGAATCTTGTTCTTCTAAAGTCATCAGATAAGCATCTTTTGAACGGTAGCTCGCACTTCACTTTTTTTGAGTGCATGGAATCTTGCGTACAACTACCGCGAAACTAGTACGATGATGCGTGCATCTATGGAGAAAGTTGCTTCAATCTGAAGAAGTGTTGCACAAACAACAAAATCCCGAGTATTCATTTCTTGCTAACAAACGAGTTACTCAAGTTTTAAGTGAAGAAATTAATCGATTCTTCTTTTAATGTCAATGAATTTAAGCATTTTTTTTTAATTAATTCTCCCTTCTTTAAAGCCTCATAATTGCGAATCAGCTTGAAAAGTTACTATAATAACCGAACATCAAATAAGATCGAATTATTTAATTAATCACGACTTACGTTGCCAATCAAAAGGAAGGCAATATATATATATATACATATAATTAAAAAGAAAGATGAACTCCATTTCATTTAAGAAGAGACCGAAAACAATCGATTACAAAAACAAAATGTCGAAGCATCAAGCTAATGATTCCTCTGTCTAGACCTCCATTTGAAGCCATAAGTAGTGTTCGAAATTATAACATCTTCTAAGTAATGCCTCCAACATTTGTTTGCGTAGAATCCACAGCAAGTCGGGCTTTCTTCTCTGTCCATTATCATCGTGTGGATTAACTGCAACCAAGATTGAGTTACATAAAAATTAAATTAAAGGGAAAATTCAAGCAATCGAAAAATCGAAACAGAACACACATTAACCAATTTCTGTTTATTTAAAAGTTTTCGATAATTGCTCTATATATCCATCTTACCTTTGTTAGCTCACTGCTGGGTGATAATAGTGAAATAGTACTCCCATGGCATTCACGCAACCAATTATCAACAATTTTACTAACGCCTGCTAATGACGATGTCATCTCCAACTTGCAAAAGTGATTTCGAACAAAATATGATTCTCTCGGTTGTTCGTATATCTTCATATTCTATAATCAGCAAAAAAAAGATATAAAATTCATCAGAAAGATTATAACAATAGAGTAGTTTTTTACGTACTGCTAACAAAAAAAAGTAAGTCATACCTGCTTGCAGTATACAATCAATTTAAAACCCTGCAACCGATCGAAGTTCCCGAAAAGCTTTTGACAATCGACAATACACTCGGACATTTTCATAATGGGGTCGAAAGAAAACTTCGCTTCGCACAGACCCGAAAAATAAGCCTTCTTCGCCAGAATCAACCCCGATCGGCTAAAACACTAAATTATTCCGATCATTTCCTCGCCTAATTCGCGATCTCTTGGTAGAATTATCTCTCTTCTTCACAAGTTTCGGAAGATAAATTCTCTTCCAAAACATCGCCATTATCAGATCGTTTTTCTGGCAAAATTCATCAACATAAGTATGTTTACAAAATTATATAAATTTATTATATATTATATATCTACCAATCGCAATAACAATCATGAAAAAAAACTTATCAATAGAATCAATCGAGATTTCGAAAATGCATCATCTAATAAATCAAACCTTAAAATTAAAAAAAGGGCAATCAATTGATTAATCAAATTACTGGTTTATAGGATTCGGAATTGAATGTTGATAAATAAATGAATTGCGAGAAAAGAAATCGACACAAACCTTGTTAGAAAAACTGGGGGAAGAACAATCCGAATGAAATTGTGAGTTCAGTAAATTTTAGGGTTCTTCCGATTTTGAAAACCGTTCAAATCAGTACTTAATATTCTTTTCGTGGGCCGGACTTTTGCTTTTCCATTCAGAAATTAATGGTCCTCTTTAAAATAAAATATGGTAAATTACGATCATCCCCTGGTGTAAGGTAAAATTACGAAAACCCCCCTCTTATTTTGATAATTACAATCACCCTTCAACTATGAATTTTTTGGACGTTCACCCTTATGGCGTCAAAGTCAACAGAATCTTCATTATTCTCTAGTTTGTACTCATTTTATGCAAAGTTACAGTTTCTGATGCACCACAATCTGATATTTACAAGCCAAAAGACGTATTTTACGATCATATTGTTTCAAATGTGGAACTCGAATAGGGTAAAACGGGTACAAACTGAAAAATATTACATATAATCTAGAAGATACCACTAAATTTGACACCACAATATAATGGTGGAAGTGTAAGAAAATTTATAGTTGAGAGAATGATTGTAATTACCTAAATACGAAGGGATGTTTTCGTAACTTAACCTTACATCATATATTTGATTTATTAATGGAATATAAAATCAAACTTGTTACAAATTATTTGCTTAACTATTCAAGACATTTAAATTTCTATACAAATATATTAACCGTCATATAAAGCGAATTAATAGTAATAATAAAGTAGTTGTTCGATTTTTGTGGGATAAGATAAGTTTGTTGTGGATAAAAAAGAGAAACCGAATAAGATGTGGTGGAATATAAAAAACGAAAAAAAAAAAAAAGTTATTTAAAATAATATTACAAAAATAGTAAAATACCATTAATATATAAGATTTTAAAAAAGTTGCACAATAAGTTCGTGATTGAAGCTAAAATAGTTTGCAGTATTTGTAAGATATTTAAGAAAAAAAGTATACAAAGAAGGAACAATTTCGATAATCACAGTAAAGTATATACTCACAAACAAATAAAATATAAAATTAACTTAAAATCTTTAGGTATGTAGGAGCTTATAAGTTGTAACATGTTTAAAATAAACTTATTCAAACGGTCTCTAAATTCCAAACATTGCAAGAACTTATTTTTATGCTTTCTTGAAAATTCAGTCACATACAAATGTGCTGTATCTGCACTGCACTGAATAAACAACAACATTTGAAGAGTTGACTAAAAGTCCTATGCTATATTGTGAGAGTGTATCTCCACCTATATATCAATCTTTAAAATAAAAATAAATAAATAAATAAATTAAAACCCGAAAAAGTCGAACGAATTCTCCATCAAACGATCCAACGCACCGGGAGCAAACTTCCTAGCAAATAGATAGCACAAATCGGTCCTCCCATCATTGTACGCGCACGTATTCTTCCCGCCAAAAACAATCCGGTCGAAAAATCCATCCCTCAAATCGTACGGTCCGAAAGTGGCGGGGTGGGGCCCGCCCCTTGACCAGTCAACCCAGGTCAAAGACCTATTCGCCAGCTGGTGAGGGGACTGCATGGTCAGCATGGTCGGAAAGTAGTGCTCGTCCACGTAGCAGTCCCCTCTGCAGAACTTCTCGAACGTGGAGTAGTATTTGCTGTCCTTGATAACGTCGACCGCCAGCTGGCGGTTGATCTCGAACCATTGGGACCCTTTTCGCCACTGGGAGCGTTTTATCAATGGCCACATCTTGAAGCTGTAACGGCCCCTCCCGAACGGGCCGGGCTCGTCGAACGAGCCCATGAAGCTGTAAAGGGAGCCCGTTATGTAGTTGTAGACCGTTGTGAAGTTTCGGATCGGGATGCAGGCTTCGGATAACAGGACGAAATACTCGTTGGAGAAATCGAGGAGTGCGTTTGCTAGGAGGCGTCTTTCCGCGTCGCACATGCTCATCATTCCCCATTCGGCAACCTTTTTCAATGACCAAGAACAAGAAAAGATGATAATTTAGTTGCAATTAATTGTTAATTTGACATTGGAGTGAAAAATGTTTTAAAAAGACAAATTAAGAACATACATGAAAATTGAAAATAGAAATAATACACTAATTTACGCAAGGTTTATTGCATTTAACACGCCTATGTTTCACAGAATTGCTAAAAAACTCCTTGTGTTATAAATATTAGTGAAATTCAACCTCGTGATTCAATTTTGTTAGCGACGTATCCCCTAAAAATGAACCATTTAGGGGACTTGTTGCTCGAAAAATGCATCATAAGGGGTTTTCTGCTAATAAATAATGCGTTTTAGGGGTAGTTTAATTTGCTAATAAAATTAAATCATAGGAGGGATTTTGTTAATATTTTTTTTAGTATAATGAGTTTTTTTACAATTCTAGTAAATATAAAGGTGCTAAATGCAATAAACCCTAATTTATGTATCCACGGCCCGAAGAAAAATTAGCCTTTCGATTTCGGGCCTCAAATTTTAAGACATACCATAACAAGCACACCAAAAAAGAAAGACAAATAGGACACAAAGGCAAAAGCTTTTCATATCTCAATGTGTCAAATGATGTAATAATCATTTAACTTTCTAAGACAATTAAAATCAAGAAAATCTCATTTAGTAAAATCAACATAAAAATCATGAAACATAAAGTAAAAGAAAAAACCATATTAATCCAGAAGAGATCTTGAATATACCTGGCTTGGTATTTGCCTGCCATAAAAAGGCGACGAGCGTTGGAACTTGGGCCGATACGAAGGCAACGAGTGGATGTAAATCGAGTAAAGATTATCGTACCCTTTAAAGAATTTCTCCCAAAGAGGCGCCATAGGCAAAGGCCCTCTTGTCAAGAACATGAATGCAATCTTGGGGGTCCTTTTGAAGGGGTACCCTTCGATTTTAGGCACGAAAGACGCCCGCCAAAAGAGCTCGGTATCGTTCATTTCGTGCCAAAGTGTAGATGGAGGCCTAATCCAACTACCCAAATTCTTCAATTCTTGAAAGCATTTGAATTGAAACCTCGGCTGTGAAATCGGGACCGAGCTATGGATGGTGGTGTAACGGCTCGTATACGTGTACGTACCGATATACGAGAACGCTATGAATCCTCCCAACAGAAGCAAGATGAGAAATAGTTTTGGAGGGAAACTTTTGTTTGGTTGGTTTATCATTTTGAGTGGAGGGATTTGCATTTCTTCCTCCAATAACACAAAGCTTCCCACTCTTGATTGCATTTTTTCTAATTCAAAATCTCAAATTTATTCTTTTTTTTTTTTTTTTTATAAATACTAATCCCAATTGAAGTATGAAGAAGAGAAATACAAACAAACAAGAAAAAAGGGATCTTTTTGAATATTCAAGGCTCTTACAAAACAAAGAACAAGAACAAGGGTTTTGCAGTGTTTAAGGTACAAGAAAAAAATTAAAGATCAAATTTTTTTTGGAAATTCAAGAAAATTGGAAGAAACCCTTTAAAACCCAACGAGAAAAAGGGAAGAAAAATCTCGCTGCAGAGATTTTGCAGCTAATTTTGTGTAACGGCAAATGCAAATAAGAAACGTTTTTTTTTTTTTTTTCAAGAAACAAGAATGAAGCATTTGTTGGAGTGCTGTTATTATTATATACTAACTGGCATGAAAATATTTGGGCAATTTAAATTTAATAGTTTTAATAGGAAGGTAGAAAAATAAATAGTTATTATTATATGGTAGCAAAAAGGTGTCAAATGATTTTATTACTCAATTAGGTTATTTTGCATAAATCTTGTGATGATGATCGTCGACTGGTTGTTTTGGTATTTAATTCAATTGACTAAATAATATTTGTTAGTAATGTGTACGATTTTCCGGGTTGAATTCGGTTCGTACTTGCTCTTTTTTCGTTTTCGAATCGAATGTCGTTTAAGAAATCTAATTAATATGCATGGATTTTAAAATTTTATAACATGATTTAAATTTTTTTTTTCGTACTGATTACCTCCTTTAGTTAATTAGAAAAAAAATATTAATATTTTTTGTGATTCTAAAGTGACAAATAATATTGAACTTTTTTTTTTCCGCATAATTAATTTAAAATGTATGGACTAATTTCATATCTAGTGGTTAAAAAAGAAAGAAATATATAATTACATACCAATAATGCATAAAGCAGAATCAGGTTGGTGTTAATTAGTGATTTTGTAGGGACAATTTTGGTCTTTACAATTAAAATGAATGGTACACATATAGAATTATAATTCTAATCTGAGCGCATAAACCTTAAACGACACTTTAAAAAGAAATGAACGTGGTATTATCGTACATAACGCAAACCACACTTCAAAGAAAGTACTTTATGTATTATGTACGTCGTGGAAAAAACGAACGAAATATCGTATCGAGATAATCATATTTGTTTCGATAAATATCATGTTTACAAATGGACCAAAAGTATGATCATTTTCATTACCAATTTCCAAAACATAACATAATCAAATAACAAAAATTGGAAAAGGGCTTTCCATCTCAAACAACATGTACTATATATACAAATCTTGACCCTTTAATTTAGATTTTTTTTTGCTCAATCAATTCCAAAAACACTCAATTTTTTTTCTTCTCTCACTCAATCTTCCATGCATAAAGAAAAAGGCAAAACTTCGAGTCCTTCGAGTAGCTATGCGTCGAGAAATACTTGCTATTCTCACTGCACTCGCTCTCGTCCCCTTTGCTCCCGTTCTCGTCCTCCTCCCCCTCCACCTCCTCGTCGCTCTCCCCTTCGCCCTCGCCATTCTTGAAAATAAAAAGCCCGTGATTAGATCCGGGCCCGCAAAACAACCACGCGTGCACATCCCAAAACACTTGTATCGGCTGCTTGTTCACTAGTACCGTCTGATTGCCCCTAAACTTCCACTGCAAGTTCACAATGTGCACCAACACAATCCCGTCGATGCTAATCCACATCTCGGGATCTTTAGGGCCCGAAGTGGAGCTCTCCACCACAATTTCGTGCTCCTTTTTTTTCCGATCGAACTTAGCCCTAGTCGAAAAAGATTTCTTCCCGAAAACATTCTCCTTTTTATAAAACAGCATCGCGTCCACAAGTGCCGGCCTAGCTTTCGTCCTTTTATAGGCTTTCTTTTTTAGGTCTCCCAACAATAAGACAACCTCTTCCTCGGACACTAACACGACGTAGAAATCCGATACGGGCTCCGGGCTTCCGGAGAATTTCGCGGATCTTAAATCCCAATACGCCTCCATTTGATTCCCGTCGACCTCGAACGCTTTGTACCCTTTCTTGGCCCAAAAATGCCAAGGTTTTAGGTCGATTTTACACGTGTAGACGCCTTCCTTTTCGACACTGTCGACCGATATGCTCAACGAATAATTCATGAGATTCTTCCCCCATAAGACGGTCACGTTTCGCCAGAAGCCCGCGATGTGCGTTTGGTACACGCATGTAACGGTCGTTTGCGCGGCTTTGTTCGTGACGGGGTCGTTGCTTAGCTTCTGAGGGAAGGGCTGCGCGTCGGAGGTCGACAACGATTGTGACCTTGCTGTCATAGAATATGCAGCCATTAATATATATATATATAAAAATCTTCCTCTCTCTCTCTCTCTCTCTCTCTCTCTCTCTCTCTCTCTCTCTCTCTCTCTCTCTCTCTCTCTCTCTCTCTCTCTCTCTCTCTCTCTCTTGATCCCCTTTTGTTGAAGAGAATATACTCCAAGCTCTAGAGTTTAAATATTTCTTTTTTTAAATTGGTTATGGGATTGTTGTCACAATACTTAATTTCATCTCACTAATTGTTAATACACATTTTGTAACAAGACTTGGGAGAAATATGTTCAATTGTATTAGGTATAAATAAGTAAAAATCGACATTCTTTTGTCAACATTACTATAATCAAGTACAATTAAGCTATGCAATAGTACGTAAACTTCGACTTCTTAATATATTCTTAAGGGCCATTTTATAATTTTTGAAAAGTTACAAAAAATATATTTGAATATCAATTTTCAAATATTTTTTGTTGCTTCCTTAATTAATTATATAATTTAATGATCAATTGCTAATTGGTTGTTATAATATTATTCATTTTGAATATATTTGTATGGAAATATATAAAAAGAAAAATTACATATAAATAAAAAAACCTTCTATATCTCTTTATATAACATATTTATAAATATATCCCTACACTTTTAATTTTTATATAAGGTTCCCGTAAGTTTCCGTATCCCCATTTTCACGATATGTTGTTTGCCATATTCGTTTCCTCTTATCGCCGTTTCTGTGTCCGTACTTAAATAGTGACTAAGTGATATAAAATGACAAGTGACAACATTAATGTATTGGAATAATTCTCATATAACTCGAAAATGTATTCAAACAATATTTCTTTTCTTATGTACACTCTCTACAGTTCCAAATCTCTGCCACATATGTACAGTTCGTGAAGAACACACACACAAACACACACACACACGCACGAAAAAAGATACATCAACGAGATCCATACAAAGCCGATCTCTCCCTAAACGATTCGGCGTATTTCATCAATTCATTCTTCGCATCCTGATCATCCCTCAGGAGAAGATCCGGCCGCACACCGGGCGACCAATCGCGGTGTTCGTCCTCCGTCAGTGAGTCGATCCGCCTGAGCACGCTCGACGATCCGTCGTCGCTCATCCTCGTAGAGCAGTTGCTGCTCTTGTAAGATCTCTGTACATCGAACGACCGCCTCGAAGACGACGATCCGTTGGAAGAATTCCTCAGCGTCTCGCTCCCGACATTGAAATCGGAGGAATATATCGCGGAGAAATTGTCCACCGACGCCGCCCTCTCCAGGGGGGTGCTCGGCCCCCGATCCCGGCGGGGGCCGATGATGCCTTTCCCCCGGAGCAGCCTCCTCAATTTGGCGAACACTTTGGATTTGCTAGGGCGGGGTTTCTCGACCGTCGGATCGGTTTCGGCGCACGGATCTTCGACGTCGCCGGAATCGGTTAGGCACGAGGCCTGCGAAGAGGAGCACCGGTCGGAATCGAAACCCGCGGCGGCGGCGGCGGCTTCTTTGTGCAATTTCTCCTCCGATTTAGGGCTTAGGGTTTTGCTGAGGTCCTTGGGGGGGGCGGCTTTGGGCGGCGCGCCGGGGTGGTGATTCTTCAGCTCGTGTCGGAGGCAAGCGTTGATCCACCGGAGATAGACTATCTCCTCCACTTCGGTGGATCGATTCGATTGGAGACGCTCGATTTCTTTCGTTAGATCTTCATTTTGTTGCTTCAAACGGCGGCTCTCTTCTTTGAGTTCTACCATCTGATTTTTTAAAATATATTCAATTTTTTTGAATTAAATTGCCATAGCCCCCTAAACTAAGGTATAATTATCAAATAGAACCCCTGAAGTATTCATAATTATTAAAATGACCTGCTAACTAATGGTTGATCGATTTTTTAGGGTAAATTACAAAAACAACCCTAAACTTAGATTAAATTACAAAAATTGCCTCCACCTATTCATAATTACCAAAAGAATCCTGAGGTTTGTTTCCGTCTTCCACCAACCCTTAAACAATATGACTTTTCACGGATTTTTTTTTATTCTAGGGAATAGATTTTACACAATATCATATATTTTCTTTTATTTTTCAACTATTTAACAAAAGGTATAATAGACTGTACACATTTTCTGTTAAAAAACTCGATTAACAGTTAATCACAGGGGGATTTCAATTGTTACAGATAGGTTTAGGTATTTTTTGTTATTTAGCCTAAGTTCAGGGATTCGTAATTTACCCAATTTTTTTTTATAGAAAAATGTGTAATTTCTTTAATACCCTTAAACTAATTCTTCTATAAATTACTAAAAAGAACCCTCAAGTATGGTTGAATTAGTAACAGACCCACTCAAATATCCATAATTACTAAATTAAACCCTAAGATTTGTTTCCATCGAACAACGTCCCGGTTTAATTTGAAAAAAAATTGTATATAATGCTTCGTCGTCAATCGAAGAACCAAAGAAAAATGCATATAAAATAAACAAAAAATCGTCAAGACTGTTATTTTGCAGTCCAATATATCGAAGAATCGAAGAAACGTGCATATAAATAACATAAAACGAAGAAAGTACCTCTTCGTTGTCTAAAGCAGAAGCCGCGAGCATTTTCACGTACTCCAATTTCTGCGCCAAATCGGAGTTTTCGAGCTTAAGCCCTCCATTCGACTTCTTCATTTCGTCCAACTCCGCCTTCAACTCGTTCATTTCCTTCAACTGCATTTCGACTTCTCTATCGAAGTCAGCCGCCTTCTTTTCTTGATCCTGCAGTTTCATCACTCGATCTTGTAGGCTCAAGATCTGCTCTCGATTTTGCTCTCCTTCCGATTTGAGTTTCTTCCTCAGCATCTTAATCTTGGATTTCGCAATTTCGAGCTCGTTCACAACTTGCGCGTAGTCGGCCACTTTCATCTCGAGCCTCCGATTGTCCGAAAGCAGAGACTCGATCTTGAGGCTGTAGATCTTGGCCTCCATGTTGTTTAGCCTTAGCCGATTTTGGAGCTCGAAAACGGCACTTTCTTGCTCTTTGATGCCGTAGTACTCGAGCAATTGGATCTCGAGTTTCCTCTCGCGTTCTTCGAGAATCTCAATTTTTTTACTTAGTTTATTGATGTCGATTTCGTGGTCGCCGGTTTTATTACTTTGAGAAACGTCGTCGGTTTTGACGGTCGTGATGCATTCCTTTAGAAGCTCGTCGAATTCCGGTAAGAGAAAACCGTCTCTATGATCTCCACTGTGCCTACCGCTCGTAGAAGACGGTTCGCTCATGGAATTACGTGAAGAAACTTTTCGGAGAGGTAAATCCTACAATTGAAACAAGAAAAAAAATTAATCACGATGGTTAATTCAGCATAGGGCCAAAGGGGGCCGTGACCCCTATCGCTTTTAAAAAAAGACTTGTTTGTGGGGCCCTTAGATAATTTCATAATGACAAAATTCTGGCTCCACCACTTATCAAATTACTTAACGATTTTTTCACTAATTGACTCGAGGAAAATGCATCACATAAAACTATGTGCATCTTGGATTGCTACGTTTCAATGAATCGAGCTTTTCTCCGATTAATCTCGAAAACTCAACTAAATTGGCAAGAAGAGTCTAATTGAAAGTAATAAAACATTCTCAAAATTGGAGGTGTGATGTTTAATTATTACCTTCAAGTCATTACCACATTGCCTTCTTGAATTAGCTTCTCTGCCATTACCTACACATCAAAAAATCCAATCACATATAAATCAAATGGAAAATATTTATTAAAAAGAAAAAAAGAAAAAAGAAAAAAAAGACATCATATATTTTTAATATTCAAAAAAAAATTGACTAACCAAAATAACGTTGTGAAGGTTTTGATTTAGATGGCTTGATTCTTCTTGTTCTTGAATAGGTGTAAAGAATCCCACCAAGAGAAATTGCTATAGCCAATCCAACTTTCATAATTACAGGTTTCATTGGGATCTCCCCTTTCTCTCTCACCACCATTTTCAATAACTCTAATTTCATTTTTCCATTCATTTATGCATCAAACATATACATACATTTCTCATATAAATAAAAATCAAATCTTTTTTTCTACATGTTATATACCCTCCTCTTCTTTGATCACCACCATTCTTCATCTGCAAGCAAGAGAGAGAGAGGGAGAGAGAGAGAGAGAGAGAGAGAGAGAGAGAGAGAGAGAGAGAGAGAGAGAGAGAGAGAGAGAGAGAGAGAGATGGATGATTACTTTTTAATTACAAATTCAAGAATCCCTAAAAAAAATATTTATACAAGATAAATAAAAATGAGGAGGAGACTTACATATGAAACAAGAATTTTCATTTTGCATTGAATATGAAAAAATCAAGAGGGTTGTTGTTGTTGTTGAAGAGGAGGTAAGAATTGGTATTGTATGTGACTTTTTATTTGTTTTTATTCAATGTTTTTTTTGTTGTTTCATTGGTTTCAAGAGCTGAGACAGTTTCCTTGGAGGCAACCTTAAATTTTGACATTAATTATTATTCTGTTGAGGTGATTTTTTATACTAATCTTGTGATGGATAAATACCATTCATTATTGATATTCTTCTTATCTTATTTTATGCAACAAGTGGGATATTTTACTTTCTCTTGTTTATTTAGTTTGTCATTATTAACTTTTTGGGTAAATTACAAACACCCCCTGAGGTATGGTCAAATTACAAAAACACCCTTCTTGTTTGAATAATTACAACCACCCCCCTCAACTCATCAAATTTAGTGGAATCTTCGAGATTATATGGAATATTATCACTTTTGTACCAGTTTTATCCCATTCAAACTCTACATTATGAAGCAAGATGATCATAATATGTGATTTTTAGCTTGTATATATCAGTTTGTGGTGCATCGGAAACTGTATTTTTTACACAAAAAGAGTACAAACTAGATCACATTTCATGGAATCTAGATGACTATGTTGAATTTGGCACCATAAATGTGGAGGTCTAAGAAAAAATCATTGTTGAGGGGGTAGATATAATTATCCAAACAAGAGGGTTTTTTTTGTAATTTGACAATACCTCAGGGGGTGTTTGTAATTTACCCTAACTTTTTTTATTTGCCTGCCAGACAACAACTTGGTAAATTTGATAGGGGATCACTATTTCAAATACTAACTTTTGCTTACTTGAATACCAAAAAAATAAAAAATAAATAATTAATTGAAAATTACTTTAATGCCCTTAATGAAAATTAAAACAAAAAAATATTACAAATACTATTTTTCTTTCTTAAATACCAAATAATCAAAAACCTAAAAAAAAACATTTCCCTCCTCACTCACAAACCCCTCACCTCCTCCACCTCCTTCTTCTCCCTCCCCAAAAACCCTCCTAAAAAACCTCAAAACAAAAGAAATCAAAACCTTACACAACTTGCAAAATGGCGTCAAATGACAATAGAATGGTAGTTTACGAGCAAGGAGAGCCCATTCAAGTATCTATTCATGTATTTTTTGAGCTAAAACATCGATTTTGAATTTTTTTTTTATTTTAAATTCGCCATGTATTTTCGACACATACAGGTCGAAAATACCCTTATTTTTCGACATGTATGTGTCGAAAACATAACAATTCATATTTTATTAAGTTTCGACACCTAAGTGTCGAATTTTGATACAATTTTCGACACCTAAGTGTCGAATATTACCCATATTTTCGACACTTAAGTGTCGAAAAAAAAAAAAAAATTTACACAGATCTAATTCGACAGGTAGCTGTCGAAAATTGGTTGAATATTCGACAGCTAGCTGTCGAAAACTCATCCAAATTTCGACAGTTATTTGTCGAATTATTAAAAATCCCATTTCAAGCTTTCACATTTTTCGACAACTATATGTCGATTTTTGATGAATTTTCGACATCAAGCTGTCGAAAATTCATCAAAAATCGACATATATAGGTCGAAAATTGTGAACGAAGAACCAACCCACGAATCTCAAATCAATGCTCAAATCGACTGAAATTAGATGCACCCATTACTAATTAACGATCATTTCTACCTAAAACAATCAAATCATAAATTACCCATATCAAACAATCAAATCCTAAGTAAATATTAAAGAAAAAAAATTCGAAAAAAATTATTACTTGGATGAATGAAACCGGAACGAAGAAGCGGCGGCGGGTTGATAACAATGGACGAAGAAGCGGCGGCGGCGTTCAGCGGCGGCGGCGACGAGGGTTGGAGAGGGTTGGAGGTTTTTTTTTTTACAACAAAGGGATTTTTTTTTTTTTTTTTTGGTTTTTGATTAGGTAATTTCTAATAAAATTTGATATAATTGATATTTTGTATGAAAGGGTGTTTTTGTAATTTTCTTTTTATTTTGGTATTAAAGTAAGAAAAAACTGATAAATATGTACTCAATTTTGGTTTTAAACTTGGTAGTATTCAAGTAAGCAAAAGTTAGTATTTGAAATAGTTGCCCCCAATTTGATATCTATAGATAATAGATTACATTAGATACTCGTTAAATTAATAACCTTATTTAAATTATATGTTTTTCTGATTCCGACTCAATAAAAATAAATTAAATTATTAGTTTAATAATTCAATATTTCGCTAGACTAATAATTTTTTGCTAGTCCCTACTCCCATTTATAAAAGACTTGAATTTGGTCTTTAAAGAAAAATTGTTTGTTAATGTCAACAATATAATATTTTATTCTTAAGTAAGTTACCCATTAATCAATCCTTTGCAAAAAAAAAAAAATATTCCAAATCTTTTTAAAGGTAAAATAGAGATTTTATTAAACATTCATCGCCGAACCTGGGGCAAGTATTAAGCCTTCCAAGCCAGTCATCTTGCAACTTAACCAACTCATGGGCAAGATGATTTCAGATCGTTTGATAAATTCTTGTGACATTTGTTCAACAATTGCACCAAACGGTGCTAATGGACATTCTTCCTCCTTGAGAGCTGTCGTCACTGGTAAGCTGTCGCCTTCAATGACTATGGCATTCCATCCCTTCTCCTTCGCAAGTTGTAGAGCATGAAGCATGCCAGTCGTTTCTCCACCGCAAGTTGTAAAGCATGACTTTTTATGTAGTAGTTTTATATTAAACGCAAAAATTACTTTTGACATTAAAAAATAAGGGAACTTTTGAATCATAAAAATCGTTATAAGTCATAAAAAAATAATCTATGCGTTTTAGAAAATTGTGATCTCTTTTCAAAATTTGACCCGATAATAGCTTAAAGCTCGAAACAATTCATGTATCGATGTAAATTGTAATAGTTTAACAACCATGGTGAGCACAACCCTTATATAATATATCTAGTGTCGTACTTTTATATATCTTTTTATTATTATTTTTTTTTTAATATACGACCACAAATTCACAAATTCTTGTAATGAGAGATAATTGATTCGATCTCACTTGTGTGTGCGTGTGTTATAAGGTCATTATATAAAATCAATTTTTTTTTTAAACATCTTAAATTGAAAGTAGCGAATGTCAACCGCATGGGTATAGCTCAACTGGTTCCGGCCAGGTCCTAGAATCGAATCCTGGCAGCCGCAGTGTGGAAATTTCAACTCCAAATGAGGATTGGTTCATTGTGGGCACCATGTCCGAATCCGCTATCTTAACGGGCCGTTGAGTTACCATGATTTACACCTCTTGGTGCAAGCATGTCAACAAATTAATATTTGAACATAGTGTATTATTACATGTGAAAAGATGGAATTATATCCAACTTTTGAATATGGGGTTCAATATACGCAGTATCTAGACATGGTCGAGCACCTAGAATTCATATTTAATGTTAAATAAAATAAAATAACTAATTTAAAAAAAAACGTGGACGCCATTCATTGGATAAGGCCGAAATCCACCGCCCATAATTTCTTCCACGTGTCCATTTCCACGTGTATTATTGCCACCATTCGACATCAACAAAACGTTGGACTGGGCCCCACTTTTTCTAAAGGCCCAATTTTTTTTTTTACTTTTTGTTATTATATGTTTTTCTATTATTCTATATACATTGAATTTTATTCGCAAATATTACTGTGTTGTAACTCTATAAAACTATATATATTTTCAGACATAAAAAATTGTACAAGAAATAATTATTTGATTGACTAACTATATGGTAATAATAAGATGTTATTTCATAATTTACCAAAACATGATATCATTATGATATACCTAACTGGGCCGACTCAATTGGCCGCCAATTTATCTAATAATTGGGCTCACTACACGAAAGCCAAGCACCTTCAAATAAGGCTTGGACCCAACAAAATAAGAGTAAAAAGCAGTTTGCATCCTAAACTATAGCCCGTTTTGCACTTTACCCCCCAAACAAAAAAAATTTACACGTTTTTACCTGAACTCGTTAATTCGTTGCACTATGCCACCTGAACTCAATTTTTCGGCAATTTTGACGGAAAAGTTAAAACATGTACCTTGCACGTGACATTTGCAGGGGTATATTCGTCCATTCACTTACATGCTATCTATTAAATATAAATTAATCTTTAAAAAACAAAAAAAATAAAAAAAGAAAAACAAAAGTACCAAAACCACCGCCGCCGCCATTGCCTACGGCCTGGACAAGAAAAGCTCCCGATCCGCCGAGCTGAACATCCTCGTCTTCGATTTAGGCGGCGGCACTTTCGAGGTTTCATTACTCACCATAGAAGAAGGCATATAATTCCAAGTGAAAGCCACCGCCGGCGACACTCACCTCGGCGGCGAAGACTTCGACAACCGCCTGGTCAACCACTTCGTCTCCGAATTCCGGCGAAAGAGCGAAAAGAACCCTCTCCTCCGCCACGCAAACGAAAATCGAAGTCGATTCGTTATTCAAAGGGATCCATTTCTACGCCACCATAACCAGAGCGAGATTCGAAGAACTATGTATGGAGCCCGTCGAAAAGTGCTTTCGGGACGCGAAAATCGATAAATCCACGGTGCACGAGGTGGTTCTCGTCGGCGGCTCCACCCGAATCCCGAAAGTCCAACAGCTCTGCAAGACTTCTTCAATGGCAAAGAGCTCTGCAAGAGCATAAACCCCGACGAGGCGGTGGCTTACGGGGCGGCAGTCCAGGCGGCGATCCTCACCGGAGAAGACGATGAGAAAGTTCAAGATTTGTTACTACTCGACGTCACTCCATTATCAAGAGGAGCAGGACGAAAAATTGATGAAATTTTTAGTGGGGATGGGATGGGTTAGATTTGGGAGGGTGGTGCTATGGTGGTCGACGGGATGAGTAGACGACAACTCATTTTTTTTTCTTTTTCTTTTTATTTTCTTTTTTTTTTTTGTTTATTATTATTATTTTGTTTTAAATATTAAAATATATAATGTAAGGGAAGGTACCAATTTGCCCCTGTAAATCTCATGTGCAATGCACGTGTTGTCATATTTCCGTCAAAATTGCCGGAATATTCTTTTTAGGAGGCACCGTGCAATGAATTAACGAGTTCAGGTAAAAACGTGCAAATTTTTTTTGTTTGGGGGGCAAAGTGCAAAACGGACTTTAATTTAGGGGGCAAACTGCTTTTTACTCACAAAATAAACCCAACCCAATCAACGACATATAAATAGAGGTTCTTACTCATTTGTTAAGGTACGTTCTATTATTCACAAGCAAGCTAGAATTTTATCATCTCTACAATCTCCAAGATCTGTACACTGACTTGAGCGTCGGAGGGGTCCCCGATCATCAAGTTGTCAAGCTACTGCTACGCGTTGCTCTCCCAACTCGTTTTGTACATTACCCCAGGTGATCTAAGTAATTAGCTTCGTCACATTCTTAAAAATTTTGTCAACGAATTTTCTCAATTTTAAACTTTAATTGCCGTTTTGACTATATGACACCAAATTCTAAAATACCTATAAGAAAAAAACAATTCATAGTAAACTATTAATTAATTATGAGTAAATTTCACTTTCCCCCTTGTACTTTGGCTCGATATCACTTTACTCTCTTCTACTTCGATTGCATTGATTTACCTCAATGTACTTGAAAATTTGTCTCAATGTGGCCATCGCCGTTAGTTTTCAGACATTTGACCTTAACATGATCGTTTGATTTAAGTCTGAAAGTTGCAAAATAAATCACCCCTCCCAGTTTAAATAATTTGTAAAATAAATTAAAATAAATAAAAAATAAATTGTGGCTGGCGTAGTGGACGATGTTTTCTCGTTGTCTTGATTTTTTTTTTTAATAATTATTTAAACTGGGACATGTGTCGTTTTTGTAATTTCAATGCTTAAATCAAACGGTTTTAATGTCAAATGTCTGACAACTAACATCGAGGGTCACATTGAGACAAATTTTCAAGTGAAGGGAGGTAAATCGATCCAATCGAGAGCATAATGAGATAAAGTGATACCGAGCCAAAGTAAAAAGAGAATGTGGATTTTACCCATTAATTATTACTAATTATTCTTTAAACAAGGATTTAAGATAGCCCGGCCCAATAAAATGGGTTACTCGCTACAGAATCCATATATAATATATTGCATCGGCCCATTTTCTACTAATAATGTACAATTAGATATAATTCATAGTACGTACATAGCACTAATTTCTTCAATTTGCATTACCTAAACTAATTTAGTGCTTAATTGCATTAGTTAATTCTTGACAACCCCACTTAGATCTTTGGATAATATTTTCTAATGTCTATGGTTTATTTTTAATTATTTGAAATTTCTCTGACATAATATTCTTAATTGCATTGTTAATCTCGAAAGGGGGTACGATGACGAGAGCATTAGCCGATGGATTATTCACTAATCACCTCCCATGTTATTCTTGGAGTGAGAGATTCCAATAGAAAAATTGGAGATCCATGTTTGAATTAGACGAAACATCTTGATTAGGGTTACTAATCATTGATTAATCCTATGGTCTGATTTCAATTTTTTTTTCCTATTTTTATTGGATCTTCTAAGGTTCAATAATAAAATTGGATTTTATTAGATTATTTAATTTTATTTTGACTAATTTTATCTTGTTAAACCAAACGAGGGTACGTATCAATAGCTCAATCTTTATGTTTAGACGAATAAAAAAGGGACTTGCCAATTCCCTTCGATTTTAATAAAAAAAAACACTCCTACTCGAGAACAAGTTTTTAAGTCCAAATTTTAAAATTCTTAATTTTTTTTAATGGAGTTCAAATTTGTTTTTCTATCTTTAGATTAAAATTCAAAAAAAAATATAAAGTGCTAATTTCGATCGGATCTATCTGATTACCATCTCTAATTAGTATATTTGAATATTGACAAGTTGACAATACTAGGACCACAATGGCATTAACAAAAGATAAAGTGGCAATTTTGAGAAACAAATTTATTGTCCAATATTAATTAATAATTTAATATGTAGGTTATGCAGCTATTTAGCCTATAGAGAGATAATAATGCAGTCAAATAAACCACAATTACCAAAATAACCTCACAAAATTATTTAATTTACAAGAAATAACAGTATTCAAGAAAGCAGAAGTCTGAGGATGATGCAAAGGAATCCCACAATTTTCAAGATATCCCAACAAACATCAATCAAGTCTTAATCATTACTTAATTTAAGAATTCCAGCCAATAATCATTCAGTATTTTTTTCCTTAGGTTTTAGCTCCCTAGATGCCACGTGTACCTATGTTCATCAGAAAGTTAATTTGCCAACTTGTATATGTACTGTAAAGAAAAAAGATGGCATTAAAAGGTTTCAAATAATATTATTTCTTTTTGAGGGGTGAGAAAAGAAAAGAAATATAAAGGTGGTGCCTTTTGAACTTTATTAAAAATAGAATCTAACTACTTTTTATGTACATTTCCCCCCCTTTTTTTTTTGCATGAAAAATGAAATTGAATTTGTACATGTCTTTTTCTTTTTTTCCTGCATTAAATATAAATTCATTTTTTGCCCTAAAATCCACATATTATTATATTACTAATTAGTAGTCGTTTTTCATTTATGCACAAGTATTAAGAATCTCAATAAATGTGGTTTGGTTTTAGGAAAACAAATATATTAAAAAGGGTAAAATAACATCGATTATTTAATGATGTGATAACAACGAGTTAACACTTAAAGCTGAATTAATAAGGTACGGTTGCCCCTACTAAAACATAAAAAAGTACAATTAATGCAGTGTTAAAAATCTAAAGTGACAGATAATATAGAACTAGATTATTTAAAAAAATATCGTACTACGGAATAGAGCTGAGTAATGCATATATGCAATAATATTGAATACATAGTAAATGAAAATATGAAAGAAAAAAATATGAAAAAAAAAAATAATACTGTTAATACATATTATTGTAATTGTACAAACAAAAGAATATTCCTATAATTGGTACAATTTGTAATAGATTCAGAGTTACAAACAAAAAGTTATTTAATTTGTTATTTGTAAAAGGGTAAATAGCCATGTTGCAAAAAACAAACATGGTTGGGAAATTGTGCCCCCTGTTTGGGGGTGAAAAGGGGAGAATCCCAAAATTAGGTGGGCCCTACTTTTTGCTTGGAATTATCAAATGTTCACATATACAAAAGTTGAGCGGGAAAGATACATTTGTAGACCATTTTCAAATATACAAAGGAAACTTCCCTTTTTTTTTTTTTTTTAAATTAATGGGAATATTATTATTATTATTTATTGGAGTAAATTTATATTACCATTTACCACCAAAGAACATTATTTATTTTTTCTAATTAAAAAAGTATTGTTCTCATGCAATAAATTCCGTGAGAATTCATGAAATATCAAATTTTCCCTAATTTTTTTAAACGAAAAAACCTTGTAAACTATAATTAAATGAAAATATACGAATAGCCATCTAAGTTATGATTGAATTACGAAGACTCTCCTTATGTTTGTTCAATTTATATTTTATAAGTTAGACGTGTGTATTTCTTTTCTTCCTAAGTATTATTAATAAAGGGGAAAAGAAAATTAGTTTTCTCGTGATTTTACTAATATTTTATTTCACAAAAAAAAATTAGTTATAAACAATTGTGAGTGATCGCGTGTAAATATATGGTGTAAAACTACATGGTGCACGGTCTACAAAACTGTGGGTTACCTTAAATATTTGAAATTATAGCATTGATTATTTTTATTACATATTTAAATAATACTCAAACTATTTCCCTAACAAAAAGTTGGAATTTTCAAAAGAATATTACCTAAGTAGGACGGCCTACAAATCTTTGGGAATAATTGTGGTTACTTTATACAAGAAGAGTCTTTTATAATTAGAATACAATCAATTTTAGGGAAAATATTTGTAATTTACTCAATTAAAGTAGTTTTAGGGCACATTAGAAGACGAGTTAACCATCCATTAAACACACATACATACACATGAATGTGTGTGCAATAATGTGCAGATCTACGATTAACAATGTGCAATAATGTGCAGATCTACGATTAACAATGAGCTGGTATAAATAACACGACGTATCATACAATTTTCCCATATTTGAATGTGGTCATACTATTTGAAGCAAAATGTGTTACTATGACTTATGAATTAGTATGAGGTATGAGTTGTGATATTCTTAGTATGAAGTTGACCACATTTTGTTACCAACGTCATATTCACTTATTTAATGAATTATGTAATGTAGTGTAACTGTATCTATCGTACCAATTAATTTTTTTCCTCAAATAGTGACACAATTTCTATTTTTTATAATAATAAAAATAATAATAAAATAAAATAAAAACTATATTCTTACACAATTCAAAACTATGTCTTAATCTTTCAATTAGTAGTTATCAAAAAGAACCATTGGAAAAAAGAAAATCCATAGACAAGTTTTTTATGTTAGCTCCATTTTTCTTTATAGACAAATGGCTCTCTCTATCACCCTCTTTCTCTCTCTCACACACACACACACAATCAAACACATACACACACACACCAAATAAACACACCCCCTAAATTTCGATATCTTCTCGAACTTGGGAGCACGACCTCCGCATTCTAACACCGCTAAAGCTCGTTCTCGCCGCCATTATCTCGTCCAACGACAGCCGCTTCTTGGGGCCTGCTTCGGGCCTCTGCTTCGGCGCGCTCAGCGACCTCAGCTTCGCCCTGAACGACTGCGTGTTCGACATGTAGTTTGGGCAGTTCGAGTAAGCCCTAAAGAGGCCATCCCCACACACGCTCTTAGCCGGTGTTGCGGGCCCGTGGGCCCGGCCCGAATAACCGAACCTAGGTGTCGTCTGGGCCGTGGGGCATTTGTAGTTTGCTTCGACGTACCCCCAGTCGAAATCGTCCACGGGAGAATGGGTAGGGATCGGGCCGGGAAGAAGGGGCGATGACATCATCATCGAGCCGTAATAGTATTGATCCTCTACAAACTCGGACATGCAGGAACTCATTCTACGTGACCTAGATTTCGGGCCGCAAGTGTCGATTTCAACTATTTTCGGGCTTTCGTCGAATTGATTGTTGAGACACGGGTCGTAACTAGCCGAATGCCTTTTGCTATGAAACTCACTCTCCTGCGAAAAACAAATCAACTATGATAAGCCATATTCATAAACAAAACTATTGTAAAGATTGAATTTTTTGGGCCTTACAATGGATTTTTGTGATCTGGATTCGGGCTTAGATCGACGACGGGCCATTTGAGATCGAACGGCTGATTGAGCCCGAATAAGAGCTTGCATGCTGTAAAGAGTCTTGGCGGCACGTTTTCTCACGAGGTAGCCTCTAAAAAGGGCCTGTAGTTTCACCAGCCCTCTTAGAGCTCTTAGTGCTTTTCGGGCCTGCCGAAAAAAACGCCCCGGAATTTCGATTCGATTAGAGAAGATGCAATCAAATGTAACACATAACAAAAAAATTCAAAATCTAATTAAATTTCAATATTATGACAGAAAATTTATGTAATAAATTTGTTTAGAATGTTTGTTTTTATAGGTTGCTTATATTTACAGCAAACATACGAAAAATTTGAAAATAAATCAAGATTTAATAAATCTGTAATTAAAATAATAAAGAAAATGAAATCCCACTCACCAAATAGCCTCTAAAAAAGGCCTGGATCTTTACAGCAGCCCATCTCCGCCTTCCGCCGGCGCCGCCGCCGCCAAACAGGGCACCTCGGCTCTGACTGGTGAGCCGGACAACAGCGACCGCCGCCTGAGCGGCGGCGACGGCAGCATCAGCGGCGGCGGCAGTGGCGGCGGCGACGGCGATGGCGTGCTTGTTTTGCTCCTTGTCGGAATCAGTAGAGAAGGATCTCAGCCACGCGGAGTCGGCAGCCGGAATCTCGATCAACCCGCCGGAATCTTTGCCGGACTTGACAAAGCTCCACCTTTTCTTATCCTTTCTCTCACTACAATTGGAGCTGCTGTCCACATTTTCTCTCTCTTTCTTCTTTCCGAACAGTCCCCTCAGCCACCTTGTAGCTTTTCCCATTCTTTAGCTTCTGAGAAAAAAGTTTCAAGATTACAGCTTTTTTTTAGTGAGAAAATTATAATTTGCAGTTATAAAGATTGGTTTTTTATTTTTCTTAGTGAGAGATTAAAAATTGCAGTTAT